ATCTGCTTCTACCTAACACCATTCCTTGCGTTGTATATTTTCGCGAATTGCGTAAACTTGTTCGGATGATGGAGCTGAACAGTAAAGAGTCGGATATGAGCAAGCGACTAACGCCCGACTCAAGCAAGGATCTAGGTTGGACTTTACAACTCTGTGAAGACGACAGGTGTTCCGCCAATACAAGTATCAAACCTGACAGCGACGTCGTTTGTATTGGAACTACAAGGCTGAAACCATATTCTCTTGTGGCCGTTACGACAGCCGGACGGCTTTCGCTCAGACACTCGATTATTTTAAAGAAAGAGCTTTCAAGGGCCAGCATTTTGCGATCCCGGAGAGGGCTGATCAACGTATATGGCGCACTTACGGCAGAGAAAAAAGTAATGCAGGACGTTGGTAGGAGGATTGCCGAAGTACTCTCAGCCTTCGGGGACTGTTTGGTTCCGCTGCTCCGATCTCATCCGGAACTCGCAAGCTTTTTGGGTAATGACACTCAGGCGAGCAATAAACATATAAGTTCCCAGCTGTTGTGCTAGCTGATTCCAAGCAGGTTACAGAACCAGGAAGACAGTGTTTTCTCCAATCCTGGGATGTCATGTCGGAACAAGGTCATTTTCATCAGCGGTCGGTTATCGCTAACAAAGAGTTGGGCTTCTTTTTAATTACAAAAGACTACCCTAAGACTCTCCATATACTTCGGACATTTGACGGAATGATGCACCATGATTCAGAACTTGAGAACTTGGCACTTGAAATAGGCAAGTCATTAGGCAGAAAATTGGTTCTTGATTTTAACAAACAGTAGCCTCCTACCAACATCCACTCCAACATGAGTTGGACAGGTACCTTGAGTTACTCAATCTCCCTGGCCTCAGCAAGGAGGCGAACCAGTGGATCAAGTTGGCGAATGCTGGAGTATATGCATGGGATGATGCCGAGAATTTGATTGTAATTTTCAGCGAGATGGTGTAGGGTGGGAAGGATGTACTGAGCGTTTGAGGTGGGCCATATACTGCTATTAAGTTTCAATTTATATATGATATGTCTCTTAGCTACCACTGCATAAAAAAAGTAGATTTAGAAGTAGTATGATGTTTCTCGTCGAATACCATGGTAAACATGTTAACCCAGGCCTGAGAATTCAGGCGACGAAGCTGATCATGGAAAATTGCCTATACTTGCATTTGCCAAGTCACAATAAGTCCATCCCGAGGTGACACATTGGTTCCGCAGCGATGACAGACCTGCAAGTGCACAACCTCTAGATAGTAACTTCATATCTATAGCTGTTTCCTATTGGCCGGCATGCAGGATACAGATAGGGATCTGCACGCGCGGGTAGCCGTGCTCAAGTTACGAAGGATCAGGATTCTTAAATTTAAGCAGTAAAAACCACGCGCCTTCTCTGAGGAGGTTTCTATATGAATCCTCTTCCTAATCGCTTGTCCCCTTGAGCTTGGAAGACGTATTGGGGAGTGGTGAAGAATGACAGAGGGCGCAGAAGTGAGTCACTAAGTTTTCTTTGGAGCCTGGGTTTGCTGTATTTTGGTGACTGACGCTTTCTAGAAAGTACTTATGCTGATGGCAATGTATAGGTTGCCATCATTTGAGTCTATATTGACTATCTCTTTGGGATAGGATACATCACCATGAAGAAGCACCACACTTGGAATACTGATTGAGACTATATTTGTTGAAGTCGAGAATAGACTTAACTTCCATATTACGAGTAGCCGAAATTAAATGGTCAACCATGTAGCACACGAGTCCCTCTGTAGCTTTGCCACGGATAAGGAAGTATAAGCGGCAGGTTGTGTTGAGGAGTAGCTTGTGCCACCAGTCAATTCGTATGCTATTTTAGTATAGAGAGAACTTGGTTAGTATCAGTGCTGTCGAATAAATTTTGTCTCCAACGGAGCATTCCACCCACAACTCATGGAGATGGAGAGATTATCCTAGTTCCTAATGCTCATATCGTCACAGCGGGTAGGGGTGCTCCGGAGATACGCAATGCAAGCCACAAATGCAAAGTTTCCATCTACTCATGCCACCACCACGCAGCCTGACCATTCTAGTCCTTGTTCTCCTGCCTGGCCTCGAATGGTCGAGACTAGCCTAGTACATGATGCATGACGATCAGTGAAGGACCTTGCAAGGATCTCGATATGGTAGGAGCTACTATAGAATGGGATCCCTGCGTCAAGTACTGGGGCAAAATATCCGCCGTCTTTCTGCCTCTTCCCGGGCCTCCTTATTCTTGGTTACACTACCCTTGATTTGTAAATGCGGGTACGTACTCATTAAATTCCCTTAGACGTCGCCGATCGCCCATTGAGCAATTCTTCTCGCCTGTCCATTACTAGACATCGGGATATGGTAACAGAAATTTCCGTCTCACCACTGTTCGAAAACTTGTATCTTCAAGCTGTCGTGGGTGTTGGGTATGCACATACCACAGCCTGCTGGTCATGCATCTATGACATCTATGACAACACCCAGAGTGGCTTGCGGCGAGGTACGTCTTGGTACGTGGCATACCCTGGTTAAGTGACCACCAGCGATAGGTGTGCCAATGATGAATCGCGTATCTCCGTCCTTTTGGGCTAAGGCGCATGCAAGGTAGATACCGCCGTCAAACCGGTGAAGTTGAAGGACAGGATGCATTATCAGGATTTGTTGGACGTTATTTAAATTCTGTGCTACTTGTGACTTTCATTCAATTCTTTCTTGCGCTTCTTCTATATCATATCTACTTGATTTGAACACTTTGTTTCCTTTTTGTCTCTTTGGATCGCCCTTTTCAAACATGCAAGACCCTTCAACTAACAAAACTCGTTACAGAGACAATGGTGCTTTGACGGATCAACACTTCATCGTTTGTGGCACAAACACAAGTTTTTCTAACAAGGACTTTTGGGGCTTATCGAAAGACAATGGTCTCCTCAAGCTTCCACTCTTCCGATTCTCCCTGACGGGCATCACCCCCCGTATCCCTTCGTTTACCCTTGAGGACTTTGAGAATATATCTCGAGGTGACATCGTCGTCGATGTAGCCGTCACATGCACATTGTCCATAATAAAAGCGTGACTAAATCTAACATAACAGCCAGTCTCATTCCTGTACTTGGATAGGCTCATTAAATTGTACGCGATCGAGCAACAAATCCCCGCATTGCCAGGTGTGGATGTCTGCTAGAAACTTTATAGAAGCTGGCCTTTCAAGGAAGCCATAAATGATCCTCTCCATACGCTCGTGGTAAGGCTATTGTCACAAGCCACTGCCGCAGTTTGAACGAAGACAAAGTTTAGGAAGTGAGGAAACTTTGTTTTAGACGAGAATGCTGGTTCTACTTACAGAGGAACCTAGGAGATATAATTAAGGCTTTAAAAACTGACTTCGTGGGCATCGAAGCCATTCCCCACCGACCTCATTCTTACTTGACATCACTATCGTCGACAACTCAAAACGTTTCAATTCGTTCCGTGTCGTTGACATGTGCTTCGATCAACGTCGGTTGAAGCATTGCGCGATTAGGCATAAACGCGCCGGCTGAAACGGAGAAAGGCTGCACTAATTAGCATGCATAATTCTGACAGGGTAACGAGAGACTAGGTTTTCTATACAAGACGGCATATGCCGAGAAACTATGAAGCTTACTAACAAGCCACGGATCACGAACCTGTAATGTGGCCTTTTCCTGACGTAACAAATTTAAGAGACATTGCTAAATATAAAGCAAGTTATAATGAATAGTTTAATCGAGCAGGTTCTTTTCTGATAATTTTACAAATTCGTACAGACTAAAAGAAGACAAAAACGCAACGCATTAGTAATATCAAAAGGCAGCGCCTTTATTTGCTCTACGGACAGCAAATTATTTTAGTTTTATGATATATTCATCTTGGAAGCAACTCTACTAAAGCCCGGAACGGGGCTCCAGTTACGATTGGATCTAAGTTGGTGTTTCAAGTCGACGGTCAGCATGGGTAGAACGGACCAAAAACAGAAATCGGATTAAGATCCGATCCGATCCGATTTAAGTGGGTCTTAATCTCGCTAGCGGTCGATCTAGGTCGAAAATGGAGCCATCACGGTTAATCCGATAGTATCTTGGTGCAAAGTCGGTGGTTGATTTGAAATTATCTGTTTCTGATAATTCAAGATTTATTTTTGCCATTTCGAGTCTACAAACTCACCGAATTAGTCAGCAATCATGTTTTCGCAAACAGGACTTCCTTCAAGTCTTGCGTAAATTAGTTCCCACGGATCAAGTTATCCAATAGGCTAAGCTTACAATAGCAGGACTACTCAATTAGGTATTTACGTAAGTGGATTAAAAATACTAGGTATCTATGAAATTACTTAAAGATCCATGAGCCTAAAGTTTCTTAGCCCGCTAGGACCTCTAGAAAGTACTGGAAGCCCTAAGCAAAAGCAAAGCAAGTTCATGCCCAGAGTGGATACAGTATAGAAACATGCAAGCGCAGCCATAGTGGCGCCGTCTATTGTCCCACCGCTACACCTTATCTTCCTCTGGACTTCATTTTGTCAAGAAAACCGGAGAGACAGCAAAAGGATTCGGGGTGAAAGTGCCGTGAGGATGAGCTCTGGCCCTCGTTCTGCCCAGATTCTCGTACTTTTCCTTGTCCTCATAGTAGCACCTCCAGACATTCTCGCTTCCTAGGCTCCAGTCTCCGTACGAACCCCACAATAGGCGCCTATCCTGCTTACTGAAGGGGCTTTGCTACCCCACCATGATGGAGTCGTTCTTTGCCTGCCAAGCCTCGGCGTAGGCCTTGGCGTCAGCGTTCGGTTCGTAGAAGCAGTCCAGCACCTGCATGACGGTGCTTAGTAAGGGAGTAAGTTAAAGTTTGTTCAATAAGAGTTACCGGCTCAAGGCTATCAACTGGATTTGTTGCTGGCGGATAAAAGCACGAGTAGTGAAACGTAGTAACGGCTGCGGCATGGCTGGAAAATAAGACATGTGAAAATATTAACAGAAAAGCTGGGTTGTAAATTTGGAGAAATATTCTAGCAAAGCTGTGAGACAATCCTCGAGAACATCTTGAACATCCTCAAGATCATAACATATTCGTCACATCGTTTCTCATCTTAAATATCTTTCCCTAAGTTTTGGAAAAGACGGAAAAAACGTCGAAATGCACTTCTCAACAATAATCTCGGCACTTTTCCTAGCGGTTACGTCATTTGACGCGGCCACTGCTGCAAATAACGTGGTTTACCCTCGTCAGGCTTGTGGCATCGCATTGCTTAAGCTCTACGAACTCCCTAACAGGCCAGGTGTTGTGTTCACGGGGGTTGGAACCCCTGGGGAATGTCAGAATTTCACTAACACGGACTGCACGGGGTCTATGGACACAACCGCCCCTGGAACTACACAATTTATTGTTCCTGTGCCCTCCCCTACTGTAATTGCTGAATGGAGAAGCTGGAAGTGCGATGTATCTTGTCCATGAAGGGGACATAACGGCTGACTGTTATTTTTGACCGTAAGGGAATGGATTCAAGGGTGCAGATTGTATTACATAATCCCGGAGAACTTACTTGGTTTAAAACGTGTCGATACTTTTCAATATAGTACTGTATCGCCTAAAATTTTCTTTCAGCTGCGGGTCACTTCGGGGTTGGAAGAAATAGGTGTTTCCTGGAATAAAAAACCTACTCTTACTCTCTGAAGACACCATCAAGGCACATGGATAGGCACCGGCTTAATATCTGCTCAGACTTGTTTAATGCATGCACATCTATTGGCCAACAATAAAAGTTGCTCTGCTGTGATATTATGTATAAGCTGAGCGTAATATGTCCTGCATTTCATGAGAGGCCTGGCCGACCCTATAGTGATATACAAGTTTATGTCAGGATTGACGCCAGTGAAACAATTTGAATCGATGCGAATCAGGCAAATCAGGCGATCCTTTTGACAGAGAGCTGATGTCCTTTTCAAGCCCTCTTTGTGTTATAGTACGGTCGGCCCTCATCGCTTATATGTGCAAATGTCGCTAAGCCTAATTGGTTATTGCCACGGGTTCGTGGTATATTGCAGCCACGGGTACTCGTGGGCCTATTAGCCGCCCTACGGTTAGCACAAGGCGCTAAGCTTGGTGCTGATCAATACCACGTCAGCTCTGAGTATAATTCGTAAAATTTCTCCAGCTTTATCACCAATACATTCAGTGCCAAGACCTCGGCGACAGAACATGAATAATGCATCTCTAGAAGTCCAGAGCTTTGCTGCTCCGCACTCTTTTAAGAGTTTCTCGCACCGATCCAGCAGCTGCAGCAGATCATGGTTGGGCTTAGGTCTTTTCCGAGCGGGAGCCGGTGCACTGGGTGTGCAGGTCTTACCCGCCTTTATTGTGTCAGTGGATGCTTATGAAATAAGGCGAAACTCAAATGGAGCTCGCCTTGAGGCAATGCGAGCAAGGGTTACTCTGAGATCACATTTGATCTAACGGTGCTAATATGTGACGCATGCACTTCCAATCCGCTAGTAAACACGCTCCAGTTAGAACAACGTTAAAGCTTACAGAATTCTACGAGGCGTTCTGGCCCGCGCCGTGTCTGATAACGTGTTCAATACAATTCATGGAAACGTCCGTTAGAGTCGGCTAGGTCAACGAGGTGGGGTGCCCACACAAGAACAGGACAATACTACAATTTACTAGCAGATTTCGTCGCATCAAGTTCACTCGAGCGGCCAGGGCTAGTTAGTGGCGAGGTTCATCATCCCACCGTCTTGAGGTTGTTCCTATGGGTGGAAAGGCTCGTGAAAACCGCGCCGGCCTATGAGCAGCGTCCTCGGGAATGGGTACTGTACCAATTCCACGTTGGTGGCGACCGAAGAATGGTAAAATATAGTTTTCTACACATCCTTACGAGCTTGCGTCCATGATAGAAAGTTGCAGCGGTACTCTTAGTATATGTTATTCTATGGTATGGTCTTTCAACAACTATATAATACGATGTCCAACCTGGTTTCTAGTATCATAGTCACAAGTCGCATAACAGGAAAAGATCTCGTTTAATTCCAACCTCCAAAGACCTCTCCGACCCAAGCCTGCTGTGCATTATTTCTCAACAAACTGGAATCAAAATGCAGATCAAGACAGCCCTTGCCACATTGTTCATCGTCCTTGCTGTGGCCCTTCCTCAACCCAACGATATCTCGAGCACAGTTTCAAGCCCTAAGGCGAGCCGTGTCGACGGAGAAGCCTCAATCTTGGCACGAGATCAAAAGATCTGGCAGGCTGCCGGTGGATGCAAGGAAGACTGGGACGAAGACAACCGCTGCCAAAAGGCGTGCATTGCCGAGGCCTTCCTGGGCGAGTGTCCAGGTATGGTGTCAATGGCTTGGGCCCTTACAGGTGGCTGTATTATACGATGGTACACTTGTGAGTGTATTTGCGAGTGGGAGTAAGTGTTCGACCTTGTTGTCGGGCGGAATCAAACTGGTGGCGTTGCGGTTGCCGGAAAGTGAATGAATTGAGGAAGGGTGCAGGGAGCACTTGAAGGGTATGTGGTGGAAACACGTTCATTGTGTAAACAAACCATAGTCGAGTCAAAATATATGTCTGCGCAGCATGGTTGCATCCTATTTGTGCTTGAATTCTTTCACCAAGAGTTTGCCGCTAACGTCAGAGCCGTACTGGGTTGAGTCGCGCTTTTTCACGTTGAGAACTTTTACAGGTAGGTTGCATATCGCCGATTTACAGTTATTCTTGATCGAATTAATGATGGGAGAGCCGATTAGTGAGTGATTGTAGAAGGGAAAGTATCAGACGAAGAAGATTTTCTCAAAATAGCAGAGAATAAGTTTACTTATTATTATCAACTGTTGATGCCATGGGCCAATAGACTGCGGAGGAAGATATTCCCAAACGGTGAGAGGTGGAAGAAGCCGAACGCCGGGCTCTATATTTCTACGAAAGAACTTCTACGCAAGGCCAGCCAAGATCCAGAAGTTCTTGCAAACAATAGCACTAACGATACAAATATGTCTGACCTACATTACAAGTCCACTAGTAGCGAGTCTTTTGTGATATTCTCACCATGCAAGTAGGGGGTATGTTGTGACTTACTTTGACGGCTATGAGATCAACTGAAACATGGTAACAGGCCATAATCAACTAGTGGTCATAAGGAATTGTTCGTCGTCCGATCCGAAAAAGGTCTACCATATGAGGTGATTTCGGACGGGATAGACACATTTTTGTTCATTGCGCTAACTTTTGACAGGACATCATATTCGTGCAACGTTGTTGCAGCGGCAACCACGATAATTACGAATCTATCTGGAGCATATCTGAACGCTGGGTCAAGGGTAATCGAGATCCGATAAACAAGACGTAAGCTTTTATCATTACGGCAATACCATAAGTCTAATGAATGGTTAGCTTCGCCATTACTGGAAAAGACCATTCGGTGTTGCTTTACAGCGATGGAGCGTTCATGCTCACGCTAGCCATAGCCGACGGGCCATTGTTTGGTATTCAGACACTTGATGATCTCTAGCAGCAGGAAATCCCTAAAGGCGATACTGAGAGAATGTATCGTTGGGACGACTCCTGGAAGAAAATACTCATCGCAAGAGCAATTAGTAAGGCCGACATCGTATCGCCTACCAAACCGATGAAGAAAGCTACCTTCAAAGCCATCTCCACAGATTGTCTACAGAGGGAAGGTTACGTCGGAGAGGGCCTCTCCAGGGGATTACACCAAATACGACGGCAGGTGGCAAACGGGTTGAGATGAACTTTCTGAAATGCTGTAGTTTAACGAACCTCCCAGTTCCTTGATCACGGGCTGCAGCGTGCATCGGACCAGCACGCGGAGAAAAATGTTCACTGCAGCAACGTCTTCCACAATGCCGTCATCAATCGGGGCCTGACCTCGTATTCTGATTTGATCTCAGCGCCTCGCCTGGTTTTGGCAGCTCAGAGAAGTCGAAGGACGTTGGATGAGATGTCACAAAATTTTGACGTTGTCATTGCACAAGCAGTAGCCGTCAGCGACGAGACTGGGTGCCTTTTGAGATCGCTGGATCGCCGTCTCCAGATCCGCTATTTGTCATACAAGAGGTCTCCTCAACTTTTAGGAATATATGATGAGATGCCAGTAGCTCCACCGCGGTCGAATAGGAGAACTTCCATTGCCCAATCGTCGACAACTGGTACAGACCACAGACGGATATCTAAGCCATTATGTACGTTAGACAAAGCCATATGGACTAGTCGCGCTCACTCTCATACCCCCCTCGCTCCCATTCCCGCACAACCGAACATTCTCCCTCTCGCGACATATTGGACATGTTGGATCCGCACGACAATAGTCATCGCGATCCAGCACCTCTTGGAACCAAGTCGGAATGCAGGTGCTACCGAATTTGTGACCACAATAAAGTGAAACCCAAGATTCTGTGATGCCTCCTGGAGTTGAAGCCTCGACATGTTCGTGACAGATGGAGCACTGTTCTGGATGCGAATCTGATGTCTGTTTGGGGACTTCCGTGCCTATCATCTCCGCCGTGATGCCTTGGAAAGTTCCGGCCGGTTCATGGAAGCAAGGCTCTCTCGGACGTAAAACCGGTTTCTCTGTAAGTGTATGGATGAATTTCGTGAAAGTGATTGAAAATTTATTCATATTGTAGAGTATCAATTGTAAATGCGAAGTCTCACAAGATATATAAAGCCGGTTTCGGTACAATAAAACCTTGGGGTGTCTGCGACGCCTTATATGCGTTGCGACCGCTACATACATTCACTGACTGACATTAAGAAATGGGCGGAGTGGCGGTAGCAATGGCAACAAAAGTGTATCCGAGGTTGATCTTGACATAGACTGGCTGCTAGATCTTGAGACCAATACTGGACTGCACGACGACCATCGGTCGCTCTTCAAGTATGTATGACATTCTTGAGTCACATCTGGCTCATCGCTAGTCCTGTTGTTTGTGGTCGCGTCAAATGAGCGCAATCCGCGTGACCACTTTTCACCACTACCAGCAGCACCTGCCGAAACCATGCCTTCTTCCTCTTGCTACCGTCGAACCGGATTTGCATATTAAGATGCTGATCGAGAACGACCAATCTGTGGGTTGGTATTACGCCATCTCACCCAAGGTGCTCAACTAGACTTTGTTGGCAGGCTACATCGTTCCCCTTCCACGTTCACGACCATGAATTGCTCCGAAGCTTTGAACACCATGATGGAAGACAATGAGGTTGCGCTGAAGGCATTTCAGGATCCTCCTTTACTTGGACTTGCGCTGTTCTTGTTTATTGTTTCTCTGATAGGGGTAAGGGCTCTTTATATGGGCCAGTTCATAACACGCATAGTCAGTGGTAGTTGTTCGACTTGACGTGGCTGATTTACGTATGTATTGACATGGCTACGTATACTCAAAGGTGCCTCGAACAGGAATGGAATAGATCGTATAGACATAGTTGTAACGTATCGATGGATAGTGGGTGACCTTTTCGTCGAATATCACAAGATTGTGTCAAACTTGCGGATTTATACAAATAGATTTTGGCGGACACGGGCAGTCTCCGCCTAGAACATTGCATTCCGTTCCACGGGCCACCATCTTGCTTGTCCTTTCTGCCAGTCGGTTATTTGCTGGCGAGTGATGTACTGCAAGCGTTTAAAATTCTACTAACACACCATTATTAGGCGCATGTCTATTCCGCACATAGAGGCAAACAGTCATGTAGTCGTGCTCAGAGACCTACTAGCATAGTATCATTTCATGCCCGATACTATTGTAGTGTCAAGTAATATATTGTATTACTGAAACGATATTGAGCTGCTCAGGATGGGGGGAAATGAGATCTCAAGATGTACAGACTATAAACGCATACCAAATACAACTCCATACACCCAGCCGAGCGCCCTAACGTCCATGTCTATCCATTGACATAGTCGAAGGGCGGAGGCAGTAAGCCACGTAGATCATCTACAACGAATATATGTGAGAAAGTCACCCAAGTACAACAAATATTCCTCCTGCTCCTGATTACATTACCACTGCTATACCTGTAACAATATTCAACTATTTGACTCGGATATTGGCGGCATTGTTGACATTGGCTGTTCATAAGAGGGTTGCGCTTTACCCCAGTGACCCGGTTTCAAAGATTGGGGCACTTTAATTTGCTCAATATCGCTAGCCGTTAGATTTGGACTATTCCCCTGCCAATAGCCACTTCGATATACTGGGTGAACAAGAAGGTCTGCAGGTGGCTGGTGTAATATTGTCGGTTGTGAAGATAGTTGCTCTTCCCGGTAGGCATTCGCAGGTGGCCCAAAGCTGCAGTCGCCGGGTCCAGTGACCTTCGACAGTTTGTGCTTATCGGCAGAAAAGATTGAAGCAGATCGGGTTCCAAGAAGGAACAAGGTCAGGAGAATGCCAAGCAGGAGTACCAGCATGGCAACACCAATAACCAGTCCTATTAGGAGCCCGGTGACTACATCCTGGTTGTTCATATTACCAAGGACAGTATTGGAATAGTACGAAAGCGCGGGAACTGTAGTTTGGTTACCTTCGGCAACGCTTAGAGATTCCATGGTTAAAAATGTTGGGTGATACACAAATGTGACGGACGGTCGGGATTATTCAAGAGGATATTTTGGGAGCGGTAAATACAGAACTACTTCTATAGTACTACAATACTGCACCCTGCATTACGTAGGATCCGGATGTGAGATGGTATATGCAGAAAGCGACCCGATGTTTGATCCTCATCTTGGTCCGTTTTTACGCTTGTAGTATTTGGATGTACAATATTTGAGCCCAGCCATACAGTATGTACAGACAGAATTAAAATCAGCTTCCTCTCTTGCTCTCTCTTCTCTCTTATTGGAGCACGGACTGTTCAGTTCTGGCTCTGACCTGAAAGTAGCTTTATGAACTTCTGGAGTACCACGGTGGTCTAGGACATGGCCTTTCCGGCCATGATGGATTATATTTTATACAGTGCTCCTTATCGATTTTGGGTTGATTCTGATGCATTACAGTACAGTGAGTAACGAAATTGGCTTCCGCTCATATGCACGAAATCATTATTCTCGAGAGCCATTTTTGGATCCTTTGTACACATACATTAAGCATTAACATGAGTACATAGAAAGGTGTAATACACTAGCATGCCTGAGCCCGCGCTGTATAAGAGTTGGTACAGCTGTTAATGCTCACATGCTCACCGAGGATCCGATGTGGATACATATATACAGTAACGAAAAGGGTCTCCGCCTTTACGAACAAAATTGTTTCTCTCAAGAGCCACTTCTGGGTTCTTCATTGGAAATGCGAGATTAATTTCAGCGCGACCTGCCCATGCACTATTTGACTCGTACAAGCTTGTTGCACTTTATTGCCCTAGAAACGTTTCACGACAAGACAATTATGTCCTCGCGGCATGAAATAGACCTTCAGACGACAGTGCTGATTCAAGGTCGTTTCTCAATTTCTAGACTTGAGTTGTCGGCTCTCATGGACACATGATATCAATGACTGAACTGGTTACACACAGAATCAAAATCGGCTTCCTCTCTTTCTCTCTCTTCTCTTCTCTTTGAGCACGGACAGTCCAGTTCTGGCTCCTACTCGGAAGTACACTTTTGAACCTCTGTCGTACCATGGAACTTGAAATATGCCCTTCTCGGCCCTGAACACATATATTCGGTGCCCAAAATCTATCTTCGATCACGTACAATTGAAGTGTAGTAGTGGGTGTACACACAGAATCAAAATCGGCTTCCTCTCTTTCTCTCTCTCCTCTTCTCTTTGAGCACGGACAGTCCAGTTCTGGCTCCTACTCGGAAGTACACTTTTGAACCTCTGTCGTACCATGGAACTTGAAATATGCCCTTTTCGGCCCTGAACGCATATATTCGGTGCCCAAAATCTATCTTCGATCACGTACAATTGATGTGCAGTGGTGGGTGTATCAATAAGTGCGAAAGAGCCTGGTTAAAACGCACGCTCTTGGAATCAGAATTGTTACGGTCCAAAAGAGTACTTAGGGTATACGTACAGGCTAGAGCCAGGAATGGATCGTCTGTGCTTAGAGGAGAAAAGAGAGAGACAAAAGGAGGAAGCCGGGTTTCAGGGTTGCGATACCACTTCTACTTCAGGAAAACGCAAACGAACCGTCACTGGTGGTGACCGTTTCTCCGTGAGCTGCTACACCGACAACGGGGCCTCTGTAAATGGTAACAAACGTTGGGACTATGTGCCCGGCTGGGGCTGCTGGATCTCTGCTAAATGGACTCAATTGGGCTGCGAGAGTAAGTCGAAAACTTCTTTCTCTTGGTGTTCGTGAGCTCTTTGTGTTGTTAAAGAAAACAAACCCCCCTCGAAATGCAAGCCGTGGCTTACACGAAGGCATATTTAGACAGTCTTCCAAGATGCTAGTAGGTGCCTCGATCGCGGCTTAGGCTGGAACGATCCGAAGCCGTAGCGAAAGATTCTCGGCCAGGCAGCATCAGTTTTGAACCAAAGCTTAGGTTGTTTTAAAAGGTATGAGAATTACATGAAATAAAAAGTTAGTCCTGGTTCAAGTTTTACCAACACATGGCACCCCACAGTTGAAGATAATCGTATCAAGGTTCAAATTCCTATCATAGTTGCTAAAAATAGACAGAACCATACTACAGTAAACCACCGCACTACTTGCAGGAAACGATAGAGGCTCGTATTCGTTGGCTGCCGACGATCGCAGCCCGAGCAAGACGCTCCGTTGAAACGACGTCTTTGAACCGAATACTTAACTTTGTGGTGTTCCATGATTCGTAGCCCAATTCGCATTGTATCATATCCAAGCTGTCAATCTTGTGGGGTTGTGCCATGTAGGGCGTCGATGGAGCAGAGTAGCGCCAAACCTGTGCTATATATTCCCTGCCCTGCCACTGGGACTAATTGATTTGTATGGGAGATCCATGTACCCATGCTGCACTATCACACTACCCTTTTTGCGCCAATTTCGGATGAACCTAAACGATAAAGGACCCCTGCGGGCTACATTGCCGACCGCCCCTAGGCGCACCCCCGGGTCCGGGATTCTGATTCCATCAGAGCTATAACGAAAAACATACCACATAAAACACCCCACGCATAATGCTTGAGGGGTTTATAGCTCTGGAGAGCCCCAGCTTAGCTTACTTTTAGTCCTTCATAAGGTCTATCGCAACTAAACCAAAAGTTAAACTACGCGACTTTTGCGATAAGGACGAGTTACACAGCATGAAATATTTAAAGTTTTGCGAGGGTCCTTGAGAGTTTGTAGTCTGCGAGGTTCTGAAACTTGTATCTCCGCAGGAGATTTTGTCGTATAAAAGCCATAGCTTATGAACAAGGGAGCGCTTGCTGGTCCAACCAATATTGATGATATCTGCCTTGACCAGATGCATATATTCGCACAAAGATGCACAAATATATACAAAGAAGTCGACAAGGAGAAAATACACCAAAAACACTGTCTGAGGAATCTCTCGAAATTGAAGGAAATCAGTAGATAATCTAAGCCCAACCGTGAGCGCGTGAGAAGTTTGTGATTTTGGCCACGCCAAGCTGAAACCACCAAAGTTCATCCGTTAGCTGTTGTGAGAATAGTGGAACTGGTATTCTACCAAGAGACCGGGTCCCATCCCCAGAAGCCTGTCCGTGAAGCTCTGCCGTTACTGATAGTTATCGTAATTGAAGGTGTAGTCATCCCAAGTGACGCCAGCGCGATGCTCACCTAGTAAGTCCTTCTAGCTGCACGGGCTCTTTGAAGCAACGAACGTACAGGGTAAAGATGGGAAACGAAGGCATCATTTGCAGGACCTGTCTGGGATGACGTAGCATGTTTTGGTATTACCTTACGGCTGGTAGCTTGAGGTAGTGAAGTCATTGGAGAGGAGAGTCCGCGGAAGAGCCCTCCAGAACTGCACATTGTGGTAGGTTAATGGTGCATGTCAGCCTGATACTCCCCAAAACAGTGAGACTCGACAGCTATTAACGAGCCCTTTGTAGCTGCTCTCTTCCAAAACTTGACGGGGGTCGCAGATGACACCCCCGGCTCGGATCCTCGATCCAGCTATGCCAACACATCTAGACCGCTGGGTTCAACTGCTCCCGGATCTTCGTTGTCTGCTGGAGGTCTAGCGCCAGTCTACAGCGGACAGCCTGTACAAGTAGATGAAGAGTGGCAGGATCAGGGCCAAGGACAGCACAGCTACGAGTACCCCCAGATTACAGAGGGCGCTATGATTCAAGCCGTACCCCAAGGGCAAAGTAAGCATCGGAATTAAGGTAGCATCGGTTGGCCCTTGCGGCAAGGACTGGGGACGCCGCTTCGTCCTGGTCTGAGACAATGGGATTACCCAGCACAGTACATGAAAAGATGGATAGGATAGAAAGAACTGCGGTAAATTTATCAAGTCCTTTGTCGATGCAAGTTAGTGTGAAAAGCTCGGTGGTCAGTTAAATTGCTCGTGGTGTTTCCTCTCAATATTTATACTTGAGTTACTAGCTTCTCGTCTGTCCTTCTATTGCGCTCAAAAAATTCTCATTCGTCCTTGCTCCAGCTAAAGGGTTTGTCGGAAGAAGTCCTCCGTAGTCATTGCGCAACTGTTAAGTCGGCTCCCGCAGTGGTTCATTTATTCTAGTATATCATGGTAGCTTGTGATATCACGCATACGTAAACGAGATGCTAGACTGGTTGGCAATCACCATTCGTGGCTGATTATATCAAACTTCGAAACTCAATTTGTAGCCCAAATTGGATTTTAGCTGAACTTTATCGCCAAGTTCAAGGCTCTCTGCAAGTAGTACCACTGAACGTGTTGCTGCTGCGGGGACGCATTCATCGGGTGTCTATTCGAGTTATAGTTACATGTGGCTGAACACTTTGCTTCCACTTGAGCTGTGTTTTTCTAGCCGCATGTTAAGGGACAGACCGGGTAAGCACAGCTTACTCGAAAACTCGGAGCTGTCTTTCAAAAGTACGAATGGGCCGATACGAGGCTGTAAAGGATGCTACAGCATATTCCACACTAATGCACGATAAATGATTTAACCTTAGACGATACTCAGGCGATCCAACGTTGTACGGCAAGCAGAGCCATGCAGTTTGAACTCTCAATTTGAACGTGTCTAGTTTCGATTATTAAGCAACCCGCACCTTTTTCCCTTCCTGATATAGAATTTATACTATCTCGTCTTATTTCACTACCGCGATCTCGATGCTCGGATGGGATTATTACACAATAACATCGAGCTCGGTGGGGTCACCCCCTTTGTTGATATCCCAATTGGCAGCTTCAAGTGGTATCGTAATGGTCATATTAGAATTAACAACATCAGTTATGTGGGCTCCCGAAGCGGAGTGGAACGGCGAAGCTAAGAAGAGAACTAGTTAGAGTAGAGCTCTTGTTAAACTGATAGGTAGCTTCTAGGTTGCATGTAATTGGTTGTTTGTATTCAGGTGGTACTCTTTGTGCTTAGGTACAAGATATTTACAAGATTAACCGCTCCTTGACAGTCACGTGACAGATCCATCTAGCTACGTACCCACTACAAACATTATGGACGATCGTAAGACGAGTTTTTCTACGGCTGACCTGCCACCGGTGAGATCAGCAGCTGTGTCGAGGAAACAAAGTTGATCTCCACTACACCTTCTAGAGAGGTCGTGTATTATACAATATGGGGAGACGAAATGCGCCGGATGGCAGTAAGCTGCCAAGGTAGCCAGCGCTGATGTTCTCGCCCACGAGTTGACAACACTAGGAGAGCACATCGCTGTCTGGAGGTCTGTTTTGGGACACAGTCCTACTAGCAACTGCGAAAATTCCTGTATATAAGGGTCGAGTCGCGGTCGGACGGATTTGAGTGATCTGTCACTCGAGCCCGATACACCCAAGATCAATTGGCAGCAACTTTGTCCTCATTTGATAGCACACCCACAGCTCGTCCCCCCAAGGTATGTGTGCGCTCAAAAGTGCATAGATATGTGCAACCGTCTCTATACCCTTTCCCTGCCCTTCTGAAGACCTCGCACCTCACAAAAGCCATTCTGGGGGGGGGGGGGGGCTTCCTCTGCTGACCAACCTCGTACAGCCCGCCACCCGCCCTACATAAAAGAACCCGAAATAGAACATGCATCTCTCCAGCACCACCACAACCACGGCGGTCTTGCTGCTGCTGGGCGCCACCACGGCCAGCGCCTGGCGCGCCGGCCTCTGGACCACGGACGGCAGGAACCTGCAGGTCCACGGCACGGCCTGGCCCAAGTGCAACACGATCCAGGCCATACCCGTGGGCCAGGTGACCTTCGACCCGGCGACGGCCGGCGTCCCGGACCCGGGCCGCATCTGCCTCTACAGCGGCGTCGACTGCGTCAGCTCCACCGTCCGGGGCTGCTTCGGGAAGAGCCTGACGGGCGTGCCGCTGCCCAACCCGGGCACCGTCAAGAGTTACAAGATCGTGGCTTGAAGGTTGGAGAGAGGGGAGGGGGGAGGGAGAAGGTTTTGTGAGTGTAGTGGTATGGATCTGGGGCTCGTCTCCACGTTTTCTTAACGCACATTCATTTTGTATCGGGCGGGCTCTGTTTGGGGTTGTCGTTGTTACGCTCTGATATTTTCCTTGTTTGGTCACTGCGATCTTTTGACTTTCTGCTTGATCTCACTGCCGGTGAACTTGAAATATGCTGTACTTATCGAAAAGCTCATCCAAGACTGGGGTGGTGAGCTCCTTCTGTAGGAAGATTTCATTCTCCCTGAATGGTATGGTCGGCTCGCCTGGAATATGGTCGATGATCTCGTGGTCGTTTTGCGGCGCAGTCAATAATGGGTTTAGATTGGTACTATAGTCGGATGTATGCGTGAGACGCTCGTCATTGAGGGCATCCGTGCGTTTGAAAGGGACGTCGTTAACGGGCGCGGCCATTAGGGCTCCTATGATGGGAGAATCGGGAGGATATTTATATTCAGAAAAAGCCCTCTCTAGGCAGTAGGTGCACATATATACTAGCTAGCCAATTATACGGTAAGGAGCAGGTACCGTGATAGCCCACACCAGAGCTTACAGCAGCTGATTGCCGGCAGCCAATAAAAGGGAATTTCAACCCCGCGCCCCCGACCGATCTCCGCTATGTACTCTCTTTCTCGCCGTTTCTCTGTAGCTCGAGTGCTCTTTCACGATTGTGGGCAACGCTAATCTCGCTCCCTGATCCCTAGTCACGTTGGTTTCACTCACGTTTCTGCGTTTGACGGCCGTTAGGTAACTGCATGAATAAGCATCTCATTCCTCACAGAAAGAGCGTGCACTCGCTTGCAGGAGAGAATTCGAATACCCCATTCCGCCCCGACTAAGAACAGCGGCGAGTCACGTCTTTGCAGAGAGTCCCTCCGCTCCGCAATAGCTAGAGTTGTACATAGTAATGAAAGTTATATACTCAAACTTGAGTTTTGAGTTTAGTTGAAGCCCTACTAACTCAAACTTGAGTTTTGAGTTTAGTTGAAGCCCTACTAACTCAAACTCAGACTCATTGAGTTAAGAAACTCAAACTATAAACCAGAAATTAGGTTTAGAGCCCTGCCAATAACAAGCTTTTGGCCCCAAGATTTTCTCTTGTGGTGTCGAGGTTGTCGAGGTATAGCTATTCGCTTAGCCATGCTCCCACCCCGCGCTTTCGTCGACTTCACATGCAAACCATGATGTCCTTAGCCTGAGTTTTCACAAGCTCCATAACTCACATCATTATTTAACGTCAATGCCGCAAGAGTATCCTGAGAATTCGTATCAACACGACCATAACCGTTCCTCGACCCCCAAGATCCGGAATGTCACAATGGAAATCACTCTAGGGTTCCGACAGCTCTGGATCGCTATTTTGACTCTTCTGGCCGCCCGGTTTATTATACAAAAAGTCGTACCATCACGTCTCGACTCGAATTATGCCCCGAAAAGCGGATATGAACTCGTGCCAGTCGATTGTTTTAATTCTAACGTGACTGCGACCGGCGTAGAGTAAGTAGATTGTTCCCCTGCATAACTTCTGCGCTTACATCAATCTGCAGCATTATCCTTATTCACGGCCTCGGGTCTAACCCAGATACTACCTGGAAAAAGTTGGCTAAAAATGATTCTCATAACCAAGCTGATTCCCTGTCCCCAGGAAAGAACTATGTCAACTGGGTGACCGACTTTCTCTGCGAAGATCTCCCTCCCAACGTTCGACCGCACGTCCGCGTCTTCTTCTACAACTACGACTCATACTGGAAAAGAGATGCTATTGAGGAGCGTCGCAGCCGACTCGGTCAGGAGCTGTTTGAGGAGGTTGCCTCAATGGCGGTGAAGGTCAGCAGACTTCAAGTCTTTTGGGAACAACTGTCTAATTAAATATTAACAGACCCCAGAGAGAAGTATAGTGTTCGTCGGGCATAGTTATGGCGGCCTCGTAGTAAAAGAAGTATGTTTCCCTGAATTGCTGCTGCCGTACGCATGGCAAATCGCATGACTAGCCCCGGCCCTTATCTAGACTAGAAGCTAACTGCAGATTTTCAAGGCTCTAATTAAAGCTCAATTTCTTCAAACAAGGCGCCCCGTCAACATCTTCCAGCAGATCAAGGCTCTTATATTCCTAGGAACACCACATCGCGGCTCCGCTTCTGCTTCGCTTGCTGTAAAGGCAGCTCAAATTGTTCGCGCTTTCGGCTTAAAGGCGTCACCATCTATCGTGGAGGCAATAACCTACGATTCTGTTGAGCTTCAGGATATGCACCGGCAATTTGAGGCAATTTCAGACCATGTGCGGATCGTCAACTTCTACGAAAAGCAAGAGACACAGGAATTTTGGGGCCTCTGGAGTGGCCTTGTAAGTAAGGGCGGATAAATTGTGTGGTGAACTACTAGGCTGACTCCGTTACAGGTTGTCAAGGAGCAGTCTGCCACACTGGACCGACCTAATGCGGAAACTATAGGTCTGCATACAGATCATTCAGGACTAAATAAGTTCGCCAAGCGAGATTCCAATTACAAGAAGATAAGAAACAAACTCGTTGAGCTGATGGAGGCAATCATAATGGGGACGTCAAGGCCCTGGATACCCGAAGCCGAGAAGCTCTACACAGAAAGGAGCAGTCTTTCTGACGATCTCGAAGAAAAACTCAATAAACCGTTAAAGGGATCAGACCAGGTAGCGCATGCGGTGGCGATCTTCGGTCTCGGGGGTACTGGCAAGACCCAATTGGCGCTTAGATACGCGGAAAGGCATAAACTTCGATACGACACCATTCTTTGGATCGATGCGAGGAGTGAAGCGACGATACGATCAAGTTTTCAGCGATGTGCTAGAGAACTGAAGCTTTTGACTGAGACGTATAGCACAGTGCCTGATCTGGTCGCCCTCAAAGATGACCCGCCCGTTCGTATTGTCCTATCTTGGCTCCAAAATAGGAATCAGTTCCATGGCGAATGGCTCGTTATTCTAGACAATGCGGATGACCTTGACGGCGGCTTGCGAGATGTTATTCCTTCCGGAGTACGTGGAAGTATCATCATCACCAGTCGAGACTTTGAGTGCGTAGAGGTACTCCCCCTTGGAAGCCAGAAACTGCAGGTGGACATCATGAAGCCCTCAGAGTCAATCTCTCTACTATTGCGGCATCTGAACCTCGGTGCCGCAGAAGTAACGGAAGATATCCGTGATCTTTCTCTGAGCATATGCGAAAACCTGCAACACCTTGCTTTCGCAATTCATCTTGCGGGTGCTTATATTCATTCTTGCTACAAAGTTGTGGATCTGGAAGACGACGAGTATTTGGAAATCGAATTGGATCCAAAACCTTGCCTTGAGAGATACTTGCAAGACTACAAAAACCACAAGAACCAATTATTAAAAGACAACATGGTAAAGCGTGTAACACTATATAACCAAACTATATGGACGGTATGGGATACTAGTCTGGACGCCATTGACAAGATGTCTTCATTCCCGTCGAGGCTTTTACTCACCCTCCTCGCTCACATGGATCCTGCCAAGATTCAGGACGAAATATTCCGCCTTGCAGCTGAAGGCCTGGCCAAAAGGCCCAACATGCGAACAGTTGAGCTTCCCCGGTGGCTTTTGGAGTTGTTGAGCGTGAATGAAAATGACCAGTGGGACAGGTTCACATTCGAAGAGACCCTGAAACCACTTCGGCTTTTCGGATTAGTCCGATATTCCAAGGCAAACTACCCTGGAGTCAATATGCATTCATTAGTGCAGTGGAGGGCAAAGCTTGATTACACATGCGAGTCACAACAGTCATGGAACCTGTATTATTCCATATTCATGGCAGCTGCGGCTAGCAAAGCCCTGTCCGAACCAGGAAATGCACAATTTTGGCAACATATGATCCCCCATCTTCCGCTACCTAAAGATTCATTCATACCAGAGAGCAAAGCGGCAGGCAATATATGGGTGATAGGTAAGCTATACTATAGGGCAGGACGGTTAAGAGAGGCCGAAGAGCTGCTTGTGAGAGTGATAGAGGTTTCCAAGAGGGTAGTTGGCGCGGAGCATCCAGACACGCTGGCCGCCATGAACAACCTAGCCTTGGTATACAGTTATCAGGGTCGATTAAAAGAGGCCGAAGAGCTGTCCGTGCAATTGATGGAAGCTTGTAAGAGGGTGCGTGGCGTGGAGCATAGAGACACTCTGGCCGCCATGAACACTCTGGCGTTGACGTACATGGGACAGAATCGATTGAAAGAGGCCGAAGAGCTGTTCGTGAGAGCGATAGAGGTTTCCAAGAGGGTGCTTGGCGTGGAGCATCCATACACGCTGACCGCCATGAGTAACCTGGCGTCGACGTACATGGGACAGAATCGATTGAAAGAGGCCGAAGAGCTGTTCGTGAGAGTGATAGAGGGTTTGAAGAGGGTAGTTGGCGTGGAGCATCCAGACACGCTGACCGCCATAAGTAACCTGGCGTCGACGTACAGTCTTCAGGGTCGATTGAAAGAGGCCGAAGAGCTGTTCGCGCACGTTATGGAAGCTCGTAAGAGAGTGCTTGGCGTAGAACATTCAGACACGCTGACCGCCATGAACAATCTGGCGTCGACGTACAAGCAACAGCGTCGATTGAAAGAGGTCGAAGAGCTGTTCGCGCACGTTATGGAAGCTCGTAAGAGAGTGCTTGGCGTGGAGCATCCAGACACGCTGGCCGCCATGAGTAACCTGGCGTCGATGTACAGTCATCAGGGTCGATTGAAAGAGGCCGAAGAGCTGTTCGTGCACGTCATGGAAGCTCGCAAGAGGGTGCTTGGCGTGGAGCATCCAGACACGCTGGCCGCCGTGAGTAACCTGGCGTCGATGTACAGTCATCAGGGTCGATTGAAAGAGGCCGAAGAGCTGTTCGTGAGAGTGATAGAGGGTTTGAAGAGGGTAGTTGGCGCGGAGCATCCAGACACGCTGACCGCCATAAGTAACCTGGCGTCGATGTACAGTCATCAGGGTCGATTGAAAGAGGCCGAAGAGCTGTTCGTGAGAGTGATAGAGGGTTTGAAGAGGGTAGTTGGCGCGGAGCATCCAGACACGCTGACCGCCATAAGTAACCTGGCGTCGATGTACAGTCATCAGGGTCGATTGAAAGAGGCCGAAGAGCTGTTCGTGAGAGTGATAGAGGGTTTGAAGAGGGTAGTTGGCGCGGAGCATCCAGACACGCTGGCCGCCATGAACAATCTGGCGTCGACGTACATGGAACAGCATCGATTGAAAGAGGCCGAAGAGCTGTTCGTGAGAGTGATAGAGGGTTTGAAGAGGGTAGTTGGCGTGGAGCATCCAGACACGCTGACCGCCATAAGTAACCTGGCGTCGATGTACAGTCATCAGGGTCGATTGAAAGAGGCCGAAGAGCTGTTCGTGAGAGTGATAGAGGGTTTGAAGAGGGTAGTTGGCGCGGAGCATCCAGACACGCTGGCCGCCATGAACAATCTGGCGTCGACTTACATGGAACAGCATCGATTGAAAGAGGCCAAAGAGCTGTTCGTAAGAGTGATAGAGGTTTCCAAGAGGGTAGTTGGCGTGGAGCATCCAGACACGCTGACCGCCATAAGTAACCTGGCGTCGATGTACAGTTATCAGGGTCGATTAAAAGAGGCCGAAGAGCTGTTCGTGCAAGTCGTGGAAGCTCGTAAGAGAGTGCTTGGCGTGGAGCATCCAGACACGTTGACCGCCATGAGTAAACTGGCGTCGACGTACAGTCTTCAGGGTCGATTGAAAGAGGTCGAAGAGCTGTTCGTGCACGTCGTGGAAGCTCGCAAGAGGGTGCTTGGCGTGGAGCATCCAGACACGCTGACCGCCATGAACAATCTGGCGTCGACGTACATGGGACAGAATCGATTGAAAGAGGCCGAAGAGCTGTTCGTGAGAGTGATAGAGGGTTTGAAGAGGGTAGTTGGCGTGGAGCATCCAGACACGCTGACCGCCATAAGTAACCTGGCGTCGACGTACAGTCTTCAGGGTCGATTGAAAGAGGCCGAAGAGCTGTTCGTGCACGTCGTGGAAGCTCGCAAGAGGGTGCTTGGCGTGGAGCATAGAGACACGCTGGCTGCCATGCCGTCCTCATTCATGGCAACGGGATTTTCCTTCTCTGGCACAGATACTATGTCTGGACTTTGGAACAGATTATGAGGGACGAGTGTGGTTTTGACAGAGCTTTCCCCTGGTGGGATGAAACTCTTGATGCTGGTAACTTTTCTAGCTCTTCCATCTTCACGCCCGATTTCTTCGGGTCACTGCGGACGTCTACCAACGACCAGTATATCTGTGTTACCGACGGCGTTAGTATCACCTTCCATGCAAACACCATCAGGAACTAACTACCTGAATAGTACTTTGCCAACGCGGTTGCTCACATTGGGCCGGGCTCGGGTTTCCAAGACCACTGTCTCTCCCGCGCTGTCGATGAGTCCCTGACTGCCCAGTGCAATAAGAATTTTGTCAATATCTGCAATTCACGCGACAACTATTCCGATATGGAGAACTGTGCCGAGCTCGGTCCTCATGCATACGGTCATAACGGTATCGGTTCCGTCATGGCCGATGCGTCCTCGTCACCACAGGATCCTACTTTCTTCCTTCACCATCTTTTCGTCGACCGCAACTTCTGGCTGTGGCAAGACGGCGACGCTTCGCGCAAGACCAAGATCAACGGCTGTATCGACAACAGCAGTCCCTGCACACCTTTGACGCTGGATACTGTTATTAATGTGCAAGGGCTGAGACCCAATGTCACGGTCAGAGATGTTATTGATACACAGAACGGCGTCATATGTTACTACTACACGTACTAAGTCTCGATCCTAGTTCATAAAAATAAAGAAAGAATTGGCCAGGTGCTCACAGGCATAACGAAAGTCTTTATTCTCTGTTGGGAGTCTCCAAGCGCGGTTGAACACTGTGTCTGCAATAATCATACATATTTAATCAAGCTCCCTGATGGAGCCGTTGGTGTCCCTGATGCTGAGTCTCTTGCCGTTGATCAAAACCGGGCCGTTTGGCAACTTCGGCTTGACCTTCTTCTGATCCTCGAACGTCAAGATCATCGGGTTCCTGGGCTTGGTCATGCCCTTGGTTCTGAACGCCTCTATGGATTCGAACATCGACGTGATGGCCGCCATCTCCCTGATCTGACCTCCCAGTCCTCTCGTGAGGTTCTTGGTGCTGATGAGCAAGTTGGGTTTGAACTCCTTCCCGGTTGCCTGATCGATTATGCTGGGCATCTCCTCCTCGGGGGTCGGGTTTATCGTATGGCTTTCGACAACTAAAAACAATCCAAAAAGTATATGATCACGTGGTGCGCTGTTTCTTTCTTGTAGTTCTGTAATCATGAGGTGCTAACCCCACTGTTGGATTCATTGTTGGTGGCCCAATCTCCTCCGTTTGTGATCAGTCAGTAGTCTCACAGTCCAAAGTTCTTACATCCACAGAAAAAGCTAGGCTACTTCTTAAGTGCCAACTACACTATATCTTCTGTCACATAAGGGAAGCTATGCAGTTTCACATATTATGTACATGCAGCGTAATACCTCATTTATGACATTTGTAAAGCATATGGTGTGCAAACAGCGACTTCGCCGCCTCAAGCACTAGACGCTACTTCTCCAGGACCCTCGGAACTTGTGTTTCAAGAGCGCAGCCTCCGGTATCGTACCATCGTGGGTACTATTCGAATGCAATTGCCCCATACCGCAGCCATCGATGGTGAGGATCAGGATATCACCATACAACCTTGGCCCAGTTGGCTTCATACCGGAGAAGTCTGCCACACCCGTCACATTCAGGTCCATCTCCTTTAACTGTTCAAGAACGACGTCTGTCCAAGACGCCGGGCCGGACGACATCATAACCTCAACGCCCGACAGGTCGAGAGTGTTCAAAGTCGTCATGCGTTTAGCAGCAAGGCTCTCTAGGTTGTTAATGGTATGGTAGGCCATCTTGATAAAAAGAGGGTGGCCCGGAGCGGCGGCAATGGTCCATTGGCAAAATTGTAGCCGGTGTGGTATCTCTGCCCACGTTCCACCGTCGAGCTGGTCCCATTCGATACCAATCACAACCCTGGCCCGATCGCGGAATGTCTCAGGCACCCAAACGTCGATGGGCTTCAGAGCCTCGGTATCTACATCGGTATATACACCGCCCTCGATGAAAAGCATGAGGTAGCGCAGGAGATCCGACTTTACTGCCGGGTCCTTCAAGGCTCGCCATGCCTCCAACACTTTTGCATCAGCAGAGAAGTGCGCGTTGACGAAGTCGTCGGCCTCCTTCTGGCCGAGTAGAATGTAGCCGTAACCCGGATTTTGCACAAGCCAACTTGGTGTGTCGACCAGGTTCTTCGCATCCAAGGGGGAAGTATCGGGGTTGTCTGGATGAGGAAGCAGGATCTGCCAGATCTTTGGAGGAATCAGATGGCATTTGGGGCACGTGAAAGGAAGCCTGTATTTTGTAGTTCTCATCGCAGGTGAGCATTCAGTGGTTATCGCTGGAGGCACCGAGTGAGAATGGCCAGTCTGCAGAGCGGCTTGCGGTAAAGATTGCCGACTTCTAGATCTTAGAAACAGAACAAAAAGGAACAATAAAACGGTGGCAATGCCGCCCGGTACGAAGTTGCGGTTCTTGCGATTATCCGGAACATCATCTCGCAATGATTTTGCCAGCGTCGCAGCATCCTTGATCATTCTTCATACCAAGAACAGAGAGAAAATAGAGACTAGAGAAAATAGAAAATAGAGACTAGAGAAAATAGAAAATAGAGACTAGAGAAATGGAAAAACATGTCTCACCTATAGGCAGTGAGAGGCGGGGTTTGACATTTCCTTCAGGAAGGTGATTAATAAATAGTACTAGGGAAAATTAGGGAAGATCAAATAACATTTTCGCCGTTCTATGTATGTATTGAAAGATGTTCTTTCGCTCATTTTGGGGTCTTGCAAACTACTGACCAACAAAGTAGGGACATTTCGCACCATGCTACAGTATAGTACATACCATACGCATTGCTGTTCAAAATCCTCATGGCCTTGGAAAAAAAAGTTAGTACCTATGACTAGACTCTGCCCGCCAGCATGCCCCGCAGGTCTGACTCTGATAAGGGTGCAGCCCGAGCTTGAGGAGGAGTCCAGTTCTTTCCCTGCTGGCGGGAAAAAAGGGACACTACTGCACCAATCACGTTTTGAGATTCAGCCATAAGTCTATTAATGGCTACGACCAATAAGTTGAACAACTCAGGCCCAGGTTTATTTTTTCGGACCCTTGAGATACCATGATGAAGTGATCCTTCCCTATTCTAACCACAATAAGTACCCTCGCGGCGCTGATGATATATATGGACAGTTCTGGAGCACTATATTGTATATTATTATGCAGATGGCAAGACATTCACTCCAATCCACAAGGCAAACCAGCATCCGTACCTATGTGTACTTGTAAGTGAGGGCTAAACATGGACCGTCCATGTATAAAAAAAAGAGAAGAGAGAAGAGAGACAAATAAAGGAAGTCACCTTTAATTAAATTCATACATATGTAAGTTGAAATACCTCAAGCAAACTTTATAGGTCCTCCACTGACAAACTACGCGCGGAGCAGACTTGTACTCAAACGGATGGCATATGCAATGCCGGTGATTACTCGACAGAGTGCGACTTCCAAGAGGATACCAGTACTTTTCAGGTCTGCCAATCACCCTCACAATATGCAGTGAGTAGGCCATCCGCCTAGCATCAATCGTTCTTAATTCAGAGGCGGAAGTTAACAGTAGATGAACTGGCAGTGTCAAAAAGAAGGAGATCCTTGCTGGGTATATGCGTCGACCAAATACCTGCCTAACATAACATACTTCGCTCACTGTTCTGTTGCCTAGTCGAGGGAAGTATTCAGCAATGCCCTTGTTGATGTGATAGTGGTGGTATGAATAGCTTTGGAAATGATCAGAGGATGATTGCAGGTATTTCATTAGGCTTCATACTGAATACTGCTTGGCAAATTCGGGCTTGTCAAGGATCTGAGGTAGGCCTTTAGGCTCATCGTATGCGTTTTGGTTGTTCGAAACCTTGTCTAAAAGCCACATTTCGGTTGTGGTCTCGCGTCGGCACAACTTGGTGTGGAAACCTGGTTCTGACTCTTATATCCAAGTCAGGACAAACTATAACGAGGATAAAATTTAATATTCCGTTCATTCCTGCCCCTTGAGGTATATTTCGTAGGCATTCAGTCGTGAAACCCTGCAACTTATAATTCTTCTGTTTCCTTGACTCCTGTATGTCGGAATTATGCAAGGCTTTTGACTATGCCACGGGCAGAGGTATCCTGTAATACTGATTCAGGCTAGCAGCAGGTCATCAAGCCTATGCACGATAAAGGGGTTGCTCGGAGGGAACATTCCAAAAGCGTAGAGCCGGTAAGGCTAAGCAGATGATTCCCGCCACAAGCTCGGGGATAAACCAATCAGATAGCTTTCGGAGTCGGTGCTGAAGCCGCACGTCGCGCAGAATTTTGGTGCGCCCACAGTGCCATGATGATGCAGTCGACCTAGAACAGTACATCAGTGTCTCTTTCTCTGTTCGATCAAATATCGCCGGTCTAAAATGTTCTTACTTCCCGGGCTTGCCAATGCTCCCATCATACCCCTTGTCGCATATCCATCCTTAGCGGGTGGACTTGGTGTCGGCGACATAGGGGACTGAGGCGGGCCGTTCGAATCATCATGCTCTTCATTGACCGAACAAGGCATTGGAGATGATGAAGGATCTATGGTGCTTGCCTTAATGCTGATGGTCTCATCGTCAGTCAGAACGTCCGAAAGACTAGTTATGTCTTTCGTAGTGCTATCATGCCGTATCAAGGGGAGCTGTTCTTGCTCGTGATGAACGATCTGTTGTTGGGTTAGATGGGACGAGATGTTCTTTGCTCCTGTCTCAGCCTGATAACGACCTGCTACTCCAGAAATCAGAATGTAGTCTGCAGCCATGTTTTTGGCGTTACTTACTATTGTCTTCAACCTCTTGCGGATCTGACATGGCTTTGGACGTGCCGGCGGAAACCGTTCGCACATCTACTGCGTTGTCGTGCTGGACATGATGCTCTTCTCTATCATCATGCATTGTTGGTATCATGCCTCTGCGCATATATCGAAATGCTCGGCGGTCATTAGGCTTGAAGATCAGCTGCGCCATCTTGATCATACAGAAAAGTAACAGCATGAACAATGATAAGTTAACTATGAGTGAGACGAAGTAAACTTTTTATAATTCTCAAACTTCTATCTTGATTGGAAAAAAGTCGATATATTTATACTGTGTACACCGTCGGATAAGCTAAAACATGTTTTCACACCTTCATAATGGATAAGGTCCGGAATAGTGAATCGATACACTAGTGTTACAGGCTCCCTAATTTGAACTCGTACAATACAAACTCAAATCAGTACCGTAGTCACAAGTAAGGTCCTCGGTATGCTTCAAGACTCGCAAGAAACAGAATGACCTGGTAATTTGGAGCAGATTCTGTACACGTTCTACCTCGAGTATGCTTTGATCTGGAAGCATGTCTCCCCACACAATGGTAGGCGCTTGCAGCAACAGCTAGACCCACATAATCCTTGTAGCGACTGATGGGTATCCTGGACCATTTGTAGCTTCCTTGTTCTTGTCCATGAATCATCTCGTCAAGCATTGCAGCTGTGCCGGTAGCGCTCGGTCGGTAGTCACCAACCCAGGATAGGACAACTTTTGACGACATCGTTATACTTTATAGCCTATCGTCGCTCCCTCGGCTACTGACAACGTCAAACGACGTGTTGTCTTCACTCATAAAGCTACCTGCCGTACCTGGAAGTCTTGTGCGCAATTTTATTCCAGTTGAACTAGTGATGATATCTCTGAAGTAACGCGTCATTATGATCAATAGGGCTCAGTACAATCACACAAACTTCGAAACATGTTCTGAATATTTAGCCATTGCCACTATATAGCTAGTGTATATATCTGTGAACGTGGTGGCTTTTGCCATTCCGATGCTGATCGTCTTGTAACTATTCTAAAAGTGAAAACAGGGGATTTAATCTACCAGGTGATGCTTTTGCTAAGGAGGTTGACCCATATTCATGTCACTCTTTCCTGTGGGTCGCGGTATCGGCCGTGCTATAGCCTTCCACGTTCTGACCGGCTCGAGCTGCTCTTATGGGTTTCAAAAGCCATATACTATAGATTGTATACGCAACGATGGAGATGAGTAAGCAGAAGCTAGTTGCGGTGATGGCAGCTATGGCGATGGCCGACCATGTACCATCTCGCACAGCGTATACATTTAGCAAGGTCGTGCTGAAGCCGAGTAGTGAGTTTGTGAGCAGTGGTCTATTCTGTCATTAGAACGGTTACAATCTAACGTCAAAACGAACGTATGATGGACTTGCGTGATGATGTTGTTAAGACTCCAGATATAATTGCACTTCCAGACCCACCATATACAAGTCAACCCTATCAGAGAAACAATAAACAAGAACAGTGCAAGTCCAAGTAAAGGAGGATTCTGAAATGCCTTTAGCACAACCTCATTGTCTTCCATCATGGTGTTGAAAGCTTCGGAGCGATTCATGGTCGTGAACGTGGAAGGGAGAACGATGTAGCCTGCCAACAAAGTCCAGTTGAGCACCTTGGGTGAGATGGCGTAATACCAATCCACAGATTGGTCGTTCTCGATCAGCATCTTGATATACAAGTTACGCCTTCTTCTGGGCGGCAAGGTAGCAACACCTGCAACGCTTTTTAGGCTATCCGCCATTTGAGTTCAATGAGCTAAGACAACTTGAGCAGGAGCAAGGTAAGAAAAGATCAGTCGAAGTGTGCCGCGAAGTCAGAATTTCTTCGCCTTTAAATTAATTCGTGGCTATGAGCATTATACCACGAGCCGGTTTCCGCTCTAGCACTCTGCGACTAGTTGCCCACAGAGGCCAGAAACAAATCTTGAGCCTATATTGGAACAGGATGAAAGGGCGGTCAAGAGTTATCTGCCACTCCAGAAGTCCATGCGTCCTTTGAACCGCCGCTTCTGGATCCGTATAGCATGTGGAGTTGTTACGAAGTGATCATTTATACATACAGCACCGATGGCTCTCTTTGACGAATTGCTGTTTTGCTCCATCCCACCAGCTGAGCTCCATACAGTAGAACCCCTGACTGAGCATGATGAAACCGATCGCCAATACCCCAAGGACACTGACTACTGCTCGAACATTATCGCAATATCCAAATGAAAGCCACCGAAAACCTGGACTGTCGCGGCTAGCGAGACCTCAGCATGAACCAGGTGTCCAAGTTATAATGCTCAGAAGAATGATGTACATGCCATTCAGCGACTCTATTCTTGACTACTTGGTACAGAAGACGTATAACGCAATACCCCGGAACGCTCGGCTGAATACATCAGTCCAACCAATAGGCTCAGCCACGCCGCCGCCACTACGCAACTTTATTTCTCACCTGTCTCGGGAAGTAAACGTCCCCATTCTCACGTGGATAGCGACGACGGTATATCTAGACCGTCTAAAGCCAAAGCTCGGGTCTACTAAGGAAACGCTTAGATGTACTGCACACCGGATTTTCCTTGCAAGTCTGATCATCACTGCGAAATATCTAGATGATGACTATCGAATAAACAAAGACTGGGAGAAGCACAGCTATATGAGGTTCAATCACCGCCTTTCTTGGTTCACATTAAGAGATATCAATTTGATGGAATTGGAGGTGTTGTCATTGTTGGACTGGAATCTTACTATTTCCGCACTTGAGGTTTACCGAAGGTCGGAGACGTTTCTTATTAGTCGTCATAACATCATGAGTGAAAACATCTAGGGAGGTGTGAAGGGACATGGCTAGATAAGTAGTCGTTGCGATAGTGAAGAATACCCAAAGAAATCATTCCCTCCATGTGGGGAGAATAGATTGCACTTTACAGAGATGTAATGACAAAAGGAGTAAGCGGGAAAAAACCCGTCGGGGTTTTGATCCACTAAACATAGACTTCTGAACATAGCAGTTCTACACCATCGGCGTTCCATTCCCCTTCTAGTCGTGATTTTGGGAAATTATACGAAAGCCTGTGAAATATGTGTGACGAGACATCTCCAATCTATTGTACTGTACAGTACAGTACTTTGCTTTCGTTTTCTTGTCTATCTCCTCAGGCCGTAGCATATACCATAATTGGCTCCTCTCGCTAGCTTATAGTTTCCACAGTGCAGCCCCCATTGTGAACATACAATACAATCCTGACAGTCAAGCGTACTGTACATTATAGACCTGCCCCTAGCGGTACCGGTAACCTATCGTGGTACGCAAATGGTGTTGGAGCATGTAGAGATGACGGCAAACTGCATTCCAGTCTTAGAGTTGTCACTTCTGGACACTCACAGTACACAGTACAGTACCGCAGTCTGTCATGGACATAAAACAGATTCACTGACGAGCTTATAGTATGAGAATCCTATTTTTGAGTGCTATAATTCCAGCTGGACAGTCCACTCTTGGATCATTGTGATAGCGAACAATGGTCCAGAAACAGTTGTTACTGTATATACCGCTTCTTGCTCCCATACCTCTGTGTTATCATGATTTATTAACGCATTAATCAAAGCATGTTTTAAAGACAAAGATGTTCTATTAATTATTTATTAAGCGAATGATTATGTTTCTTAGTCGCGGTAGAGCGGTGAGTTTTATATAAATGACTCTGTTTAATATAAGATCACAATAGTACTAATGGTGGACCTGACAGGAGAATGCACTCTATAAGACCATGAAGTAAGATTACTGCATGTCATCTCCGCCTGCAACAATTAGCCGTTTGTTCTTTAAGCAATACACACTAAAGAGGATTAGATGCAGGTCATTTCCTTAAACCCCTTAATTGTCATTTGCTTACATGAGATGCTGCAACAGATTGTTTATTTATGGTATTCCATAGTACTTATCACTGATCTAGAACTGTGTATTCAGGTGGATAATATTCTGCTCCTGAATGAATGAGGCAAGTATATATCGTAGTGGGCTAGAAACGGCTTATGTGCACGAAGCCATGCTCTTGCTGCGACAAACACACTTTCAGACCGAGAACAGCCAGCCTAGGCTTTTCCCAATCTCGAATTGTATTACCTGGTCCGGATAGCTCAAAATCCTGACCCTTGTGATGACCAAATCCTTGCCCATTACGTGGAGATCATTTTGTCACGCCTAGCAGCTGTGGGTACACTATTGACATTCTTGATGAACCACTTCCACACCCCATCCCATTGCGGACACAGTGGCCGCAAAAGAATTCATCGATAGTTTGGTGGCATGATGGCAGAACTACGCCAATGAACCCGGATGATGCCAACGCTTTAGAATGGACCACACGTAGTGTATGAATAGTGGAACGAAACACAAGTATAGGGGTACAGGATGGGAGTATCCAATTCATCATGATGAGAATCTGTGAAAATCTGTGATATATATTGAATCAAGGAATTTCAGCTGGATAAGAGAATCGTGTAACGTCTAGTGCAGCTAAATCATCAGAACAGCTATCGTTACCCATGAAAACGTCATTCTCCGTGGGCAAGAAGCTGCTCGTATGAGTGCTGACGTGCGACGGCGTGATAAGCTGAAAAGATAAAAAGGCAGACGCTATATCGTTGTTTTGATCATTACTAATTTGCGCGGGCCTAATTTCTCCCTTGGCGACGACAACGGAAAGAGAGAGCGCAAGATGGAAAATGTTTCTCTACGAAAGACTCCAAGGACACCCTTCCATGAACCCATTAGGATACTAGCACAACCAAGAAGAGCGCACCTAAGTTGTTGCTTACAGTACAGTACCAGCATACTGTACTCATTTGACCACTGGATGCTTTACTGTACTGCACTGTTCGTCCAAAGGACCAAAAAGTGATACATGTACAGTACTGTACAGTCCAGCACCCTCAAGGTCATGGCCAAATATGTACCACCCAGCGAACATGAAATCGAACAACAGTTGGTGGGTGGCGGAGAACGGTTTGGTACGAGCAACTGTTTTGTGTTCTCCCAAAAGTGGGCTGCTGTTGATGTTCAAGCCGTCTGCGATCCATTTACGTACCGATCGGACTATGTGGTAGAGCTCCATATGACTGTACGTGTCCAAAACAGGCAGTACACTGATTTCTGGTCATCTTCTTTCCTAATTGAACCAGCAAGTCCAGATGCGCCTCTAGCAAAACGCGAAAGATCCATAGGTCGATGACATTAATCACATGACCCAGACTCATCTATATAAGCCTGTCCTCCCCCAGATTGTCTTGAACTTTTTCTTTCCTTCCTTCTTCACACTCGTGTCCATCTGGCAGTTAACCATGCCCTACCAGATGTAAAACTCTCTTCGCTGTGGCAGGTCAGCGTTACCACCGCTTCCCCTGGACATAATCGCTGGGATGAGGTCGGCGAAGACGGATTCTGCAACTGTACGTGGTGCTGGCTACGAACCTGTTCGTCTTGACTGAGATCTTCGGTCGAGATTGAGCAAAGCCAATGCAGAGACGCGACTGTACCTAGTTATCTGTCGGAAAGACCATTATCTAGTTGCATGAACAAATCCATAACGTCACATAACCTGCAAATAAACCAAATATACAGTGATAAAATGATAAACAATAGTTCTCTTGCGTGAATGACCTACTAGGAATGTAGTCTTTCTGCTGCTTAGGCTGAGCTATCGTTGACACGCTTGCGTTCGCGCTAAGAAAACGAACTTGCTGCTCCGAATCAGCCAAGAAAGATCAAGAGTGGGAAAAGGGAGACCGGACTTGCGCAAAATCTCATGTCTATGCGTCTGAATGATGAGCAGTGGTTCCGTGAGTACAGCACGAGAAAAGTAGGCTCAGAAACAGGACTCATGCCATGCCGGGCTACTTTAAGTGAGGTGATCAGTCCTGCATCTGGGCAGAGGGTGCGGACACAACACGTTCACGATCGAGACAAAAGTGGACCCCAGAGCTTGATCATGGACTGGACTGGACACCAGCACCGGTCCCCAGCTGGCAGGTCCTGAAGTGAACAACCCGCCGCGATGAGGTCCATTGTGCTTAAAAAGGACGTACCCATTTCATGTCCCTCATCGGCAGCCTTCGCCCATGAAGCCATTTTCTGTCTTGTTTCTTTCTCGCTTTCTGTCGTGAGCGCATGTTGTAACGAATGAATGGCACCGACTTGCAGAAACGGCCTCAGTCTCAGCCACATGAAAGGACACACATACGTCATCCTGTAACGTAGCGCAATCTGGACAATCGAGTACACACAAATGGTTGCGAATGGATGAATACTGACCGTAGTCAATTCTGATGGCGTGGATGTCCTAGGATCAATTTGGGCTCTTGTTCGGACAAGGGTTCGGTTTGGTTCCCGCTCCAGATGTCGACCAGAACAGCAAGCGGCTCTTTCACTTCCTACGCTAGCAGGCTTTGAAGTGCACAACCCAAAGTGGTTTAAGCACCAACAACTAAAAACAGCCAGCCTCATTGAAGTGTGCTGGCACACGCACGTCATCCTGTAACGTAATGCTATTTGGACAATTGACAATCGAGGGTGCACAACTGGTTGTGAATGGATCAATAACCGTAGTAGTCGTGTTTGTCGCGTTTGAGGCCAGTCTTGTTCCTCGATAGTGTGGATCGAATGAGGATTCTTCTTTAAACACAAGAGGAGTGGAGACGCGACTCCAAGCACTGGCGCGACCGTTAGCGATCAACACTATGCCGGATTAGGTCGAACCGAATATAGCGCGACAAGCCCTACGCAGCTCAAAAATAGCATATATCAATCAGCTCAATCGAAGCTCAAAGACATGGAAATGTCCCTTTAAGATCCAACAATGCCCAAATAGCTGGTTGTGGAACAGCATTGATAAGTATGTATGTTCATGCCTGCTTCGAGCTTTGTTTGCGCATTTGTCTGCCATTTTTGAGCCGCGTGGGGTTTGTCGCGCTAATTCCGCCGCAATCAGGTATAGAGTTGACCACTATTTGGCCGCTTCAAAGTGGGCGGTCGTCGCATTAAGTGGACGGAGGTCGCGGTCAAGTGGATCCCGGGACATCAAGACATCGAAGGAAACGAAGCTGCTGATAAACTTGCCAAGGAAGGCGCAATGCTAGAAACGAAGGCAGATAGCCTGCCCACGGTCGCATGGTTACGGCGGGATCTGAAGGGAAAGGAAAAAAGACGATTTTGCCCGCTGGTGGGAGGCGCAAGACGAAGCCAGATACAGATATGTGCATTCATATCCGGCGGTGTCAAAGAAGCTCGTCTCATTCATAAGGGCTACTCTGCACAGGCTCCTGGCGGCAAGATCTGGCCACGGCGACGTTGCAGCATATCATGAACGATTCGGGCATACGGCCTCCAATAACCACTGCAGTTGCGGAGAGAGAAAGACACCAGAGCATATTTTCTTCTGTAGGAAATTGCAAAGACACCGACTGCTCCCGAGGCACACGCCAAGGGCGGCTTATACACAATACTTGGGGGAGAAGAGCGCGCAGTGGGCGAGTTTTGTAGAGAGGAGTAACTTTTTCACAAGGACATGCCCGAGATGAAGGGCCATTTGAATTGACGGACTGAGTGAGTGTTCTCACTCAGGTCCCGCAGTAGCGTGGACTGGCACGTGCGCAGGCTGGAATGTATGTAGATACTGATACCTCCAAAATCCTGCGATGTATGGCCCTGGGAGGCGTGGTTTGCCCTAATAAGGGACGGTCCCCACGTTAAATACAATAAATCAATCAATCAATCAATCGACTTGAGGGTGACGGCCAAGCTAGAATTCGCAAGGGGGGAGTCGAAGCTCAATACGGCATTATGTGGCAAGTAGCCATCGCCTATAAGTTTTTACTTGCCACTCTGCAGGAAGCGAAGATTGAGGCCAGAGATCGTCCAGAACCTACTTACTATGCTTCCTGTATCAACTCGGCCTGGACTAAATTGAACGAGTATTATTCAAAACTAGACGAGACGCCGATATATTACGCTACCACTGTCCTTCACCCGGGAATACAATGGACTTTTCTGACAAAGGCCTACGGCGAAAAAGAGGGATGGATCTCCAAAGCTCGTCAGCTTGTGCAGACCCTCTGGGAAGAGGATTACTGTAACCTCCCTATACATGGAAGATCTCTGAAAGCAATCTTCCGGTAGCGGTCAGGGCTCGAAAGTCTAATCCGTTTGATTCTTTCCAAGATGAGCTTCTATCGCGAAATCCTTATGGAGTAGAGCCCATCGCAGATGAATTTGTGCGGTGGCTAAGAACAAAGCAAGATATCTATACGAAACACGACAACCCGTTTCAGTACTGGTCTGCAAAGCGTTTTGAGTTTCCACGCGTAGCAAGGATGGCTATTGATGTCTTGTCTATTCCAGCAATGCCAGCCGAATGTGAGCGCACATTTTCCTCTGCAGGTCGTATAGTGTCATCGAAGCGAACGCGGCTCGACGCGAGTACAATTTCGGTTGCCCAGACAGTCAGGTCATGGCTGAGAGCAGGCTTTCTGGAGGGCTATGATGGATTATTAAAGCAGGTAGAAAACGGAGCCGGGATCGTAAACCAAGAGATCATGCCAAGCCTTGGTGAGTAGACGGCAATCTACCTAATCTATCTACATTCATAGGCTACATCTATCTATCTACTAGACCATTCATGACTAAGCATCTATATCTATCTGCTAGAAGTGTGGGTAGATAGATGTAGATAGATTCCCCACCCTGACTGATCCTTCGGTCTTCGCCATCATATTGTGGGAGGGTTTCCAGAAGAGCTTGAAAATGCGCATTAAGCGATTTCGATAACGGTTTTCGATTTGATTATGCCATGTTCGGTTCGTGCGCTCTTGTTCTGTTGCCGGTGAATCCAAACGTTTCTTCTTGGGTGCCCGTGAAGCAGACCGCAGCTTCAATCTTGCCGTTGATATTGTAAAAGAAGCTTGTGGTGGTAAATCGGGTATCTTCTCCTCGTTCGGCCTGCGGAAGAAGATTCCTAATGCTCCTTCAGGAGAGGTTGAGGACAAGAAAGACGGCACTGTTGGGAGGCATCTTACTGAGCGGCTTGTAATAGCACTTGAGAAGCTCGCGGATGGAAAGACTACATCGAGCACCGCCTCTACATCTGGCTTGATGAAGGACGATGCGGAGGTGAGCGAGGAGGATGAGCCTGTTCAACCGTACACGCTCAATACGCCTGAACCCAAACTAATGGAACGTATCTAACCCCCAAGCAGTTGGAGCGAGAAAGAGGGCAAATACAAAGTTGCCAATGCTGTTGATCCTCAGTTAGGCAAGCTGGACGAATACGCCTTTGTTGTTCGGAACAGGATTGGTCAGTTCCGCTTATCTTTGGTCGTGGACACTACCTAACTCAACTACAGATAGGAATACTCAAAAGACAACTTCTTTCATCGATATCAAATTTGTATACCTGCGCGACCTGCTTAGGGAGGTCTTCCGAGATATACGTGGTGTCTCATTGGATAATAGTGCTCCTTCTGTACGAGTTCCGCAGCACCGCACTATTCCATCGCTAGTCATCTCTAGATTGAGCAAAACCATGTGTTTCATATCCGAGAGGACTTGAATGTGCGCTCGAAGCGGAATGCGGACGACCACAGGGACGAAATGGTCGGCAAGCATCTGGGTCTGTTTATGGATTATGTCAATACTCTGTTCCAGCCTACAGTCGAGCAACTGTCTGCCCTGATCGCAAGGGGCGAAATCACGTACGACCTACTATGGGCCCTCTTTGAGCCAAATATGGAGATATTCACTACATGTCTTGGAACCGATGCGTCAAGGTGTGTCCTTTTCAATCATTGCGAAGAGAGGACAGATATGAACGGCGCAAAGTTTATCTATCTCGACACGCGCTATCTGAATTCCAAAGGCAAAATCTTAGGCGAAGTGACCACTGGCATTAAGATCCCTTATTTCCAGGGAACCAGACTATTGAACACCTCCGTGCATATCCTCTCAAGTATCATCCCGAGCACGATGTGGTGCGACGAGACCTCATTCAACGCGGTCGCACTTTCGTTTCGTTGATGGGAATTCACCACAGACAGCACGAAGGCAAAGCGTTCTTCGTTGACGACGAAGGTGAGATAATCGCTCGGCATGTCCAAGGCAGGATCATGGTGGATGCCATCTGCTTCCAGGAACGCATGCCCAACTATCCCTGCCCACGAGTGCAAACGAAGCCATGATGTCGTTCATGTCGAGGACGTCGCCAAACTCTGTGCTATCTTGTTCCAGCATGGGCGATGAGTGGTGCATTCCTTCTTTTCTGTACGTCTTCGGTGTTCGTAGATGACAGAGACTGACAATATGTGTGGCCTTGTACATGTTCCGATGATTCTGACTGCATGTCAGATGAATATGCTTCGATGTCGAAAATGTCCTCTGGAGTCTGATCATCCCTCCATGGCAAATAGGGGCTCGCATCCCCTTCTATCTCAACCATGCTGTCGCTGCCTTCGAGACATGTTGTCTGGTCGACCACTGTCATACTATCTTCCTCGGTTCGGCTGAAGTCAATCCAATTGACAGAATGAAGCAACCCCTTATCCATTTTATTGCTGTTGTCGTTGTTGCTGGTGTTGTTTGAAGGAAAGATGGGATGGATGGCAAGACTGAGAGTCACGTAAGGTCGGAAGAGTAAGGTGAAGAAGAAGACAAAGAACGAAGCCAGCATGGAGAGGTCGGTGGCGTCCAATTTATATTCAAATGGCCTTCCTCATTTCCAACCTCGCTGAGAGTTGAGCTCATTGCACTGTCATGTTGCCCACCGGGCTGCTCATCCTTCCTCCTTGGGATATCCGGCTCTTTGGCAAAGAGGTCATCTCCATCCAAGAGAGCTCTCAGATGCGATTGGTCCTGAAATGAATCTATCTCGACGGGACGAGGCGTCGTTGCGGTGATTCCTGTGGTTATGGCCTGTCCTAGTGTATTCGTCTCCACAATTGGTACTGTTCACATCATTGCCTAGAAGACCGCGCCTGCTTGTCCCTGAGCTGTGTGGTGATGGCGCATTGTATTCGGGTGAGAACCAGGAATCAGGTGTAAACATTTTCGTCTTCTACTTCAATCCTTTCCGCTGCAGCCGCTGTGCGACCAGCAACATCAATGCACCAAAGCACCCGTGACGGTGATAGCACCGACAATGATGCCAGCAATTCGTCCTTTTCCTCTGTCTGTCTAGGGGTGGCTGTCCATTGCTGGACTGGAACTGACCAAGGATTGGGAATGACTGCCGTTCACCTGACTGTCGGGGTTCGGCCTATTTTGGTGCATTTAATTTAGCTTTGACTTCAGGGGAGTAACGGCCAAAAATGGCAGGTGAAGCTATGTTCATGATGCGAGCCCTTCCTTCTACGGATTGGTTCATGTGACTGATGAATTGATGCTGTATCCCGAGTAGGTCACTTGGCCACCAAAGCCGAGCATGACCTCGGATTGGGGCAATTCAAGATTTGAAACCTGATCGTGCAAAACTCGTATTCGACTAGGATATAGCTGAGCAGAAAATCGACCATGTTCATGTCCCATCTGCTGCATGAATTGCGGTGAAACGCCATCCACTGATGCAGGCCTGACAATATCGCCTGACGGTAATAACGTCGGATTGTAGGTCGATTGTACTGGGAACATTGTTGAGGCATCCGGATCGGTGAAAATTGTATTCGTGTCAAAGCTATTGTATGAGGTGAAGTTTTGTAATGATAATGTTTGCATATTTTGACCACTCATCATGATTTTCCGGTAGTCCTGTTCAGAGTCTGATTGGCCGAGTTCAGGTGAGCTTGCTCGTTCTATCAGGTTACACGTTGCGTCTGTCTCCGAGATGACCGTTGTCATGTGTGACTCCAGTTGGTGAACTTCAGGCTCTGCAGCCAATTCGGATGAATCGCCCTCTTGTTCAGGTAAGACCGTGAGAGAAAGCAGGTCCGCGGCCGCATCCGCATCGGGTCGAATGCACCCAAGAAGTGCAGCAATGTTGTGAATGATAGGTTGGCCTCGATCATTGAGCTCGGGCTCGTCAAGTTCCCATTGTTGGCCATTCCGCACCATATCGTAGAGCTTATGAACGGTAGCAATCAGCGTAAGTTGATTATGTTCTAGCATTTCAGCGTAACTGCTTTGTGTTAGACCAAAATACGTTAGGTCGGCGGCAACTCACCCTCTTGGTAATTGTTTACACTCGGTCTTCTTCCGTGTACCTGCTGTACATACAAGACCATCGTCCTTACATCTCCTGCAAGGGAATTTCCCGTCACACTTTATCTTCCTCTGCCTGCACCTCCCACAAGCTTTCTGAACTCGCTTATGTCTATCCATACTGTGGTGATAGGGATCCGTGGTTATGCACTGGCGAATGCGATGTTTGGCTTGCTTGTTTCGAGCTTCGATATACTAATTTGGCTGATTTCGTTCTTAGCTGTACTTTCCTCGCGCTAGTAGTTACTTTGGTGCTGTCCTCCATGGGAAGAGTTTCCTACTCTTTCCCATTATGATAATACGTGGTCCACAGCGGATATGACAGAAGTTAAAAGCCAAATAATGGAGAATAGGTGTGACTGAGAGAAGAATGGCTGGAACAGCAAAATGTTTGGTGGGTTTGACCGAGGCCGAGGGCGGCAGGAGCTCGGTCCAACATCAAACTGTGCGTTTCCACAACCCCTCTTTTTCTTGCTAAGTCGCGCTCAGTTGCAGAAGAGCTTCGCACCTGTCATTTCAGTGGTGAGCGTGGTAATCGGCAGGTATTTATTCTTTGGGGTATACCGTACCTTTTTGATCTTAGGGCGTGAACAAAACATGACGAAATATCAGCCCTACAGGTCGGCCCATGCAGAGAAGATCAATCAATCAATCGATCTAGATCAGGTAGATGCGCAAAGTTGCTGGAGGGTAATTACTGTACAAATGAAAACTCACGAGAATGATTCGTTAGTGGTGTTACGGCTACATGGCAGCTATGCGAGCTTCTCGCCAAATACGCCGAACCTTGGTGACTTCGATTCTCTGTATCGTACTTCATCTTGCGCTTCCCACCAGCGGGCAAATTCATCTTTTCTCTTTCCCTGCAGTTGTCGCCGTACCCATTCGACCGTGGGCGGGCTGTCCGCCTTTGTTTCAAGCATGCGCCTTCCTTCGCAAGTTGCTCGGCCGCTTCATCTCCTTCGATGTCCTGATGTCCCGGGATCCACTTGACCGTAACCCCGGGACTGTGCGCCGACGCAAGCTCCTGGAAACACAGAAAGATGGCTTGCGACGATTCTAGCGGTGTTAGTGGGCAGCCCGTCCACCACCGATGTGTTGTCCAGGCAGATGTACAATTTCTTGTCCGGTGCGATCACTCTTGCGGCCGCGAGCCCTTGTAGGGCACCATATGCTTCGGCGTCGACGACCTCCGCCCGGAGTAGCCTGCCTTTGTTCCGGCACAACTCTCGATTGGTCCCGCCTTTCCTGATGGTGTTTCCCCAGCCAGGCGGGTAAGCCCTTGTTCTTGAAGCCGTCCGAGTAGGTTCGGACCAGTTTAGGCCCGCATCCCCTCATCGAGATCTCAACTGAATGCGATTCTCAATGGTCACAAGTAGCAGGCGAATTTAATTTTTCTGACCATCAAAATCTACAACTTGAACTTGCGCCGAACTAGTCGTAGGATAATACTTGCCTAAGGAACTATCAAACTCCTGCTTTTGCGACCCAAAGCTTTATTCGACAGATATATAGTTGAACAGACAGTGCCGTATGATGCCCACATAAGAAGTTGCATGTGCTTAACATTGATGCAATGCACTAGGCACTCTTGCCAGACCTTGGAAGGGCGAGCACTTTGACTTGGGAGGTTTATTTATCAGAAGTTCTACATAACCGATCTCTTGCTCGCCATGACCGATTCTGTTACAAGGGTTCGTGTACTGGTAACCCGCCCACGCTGCACCGGTCCGGATTTGACACTGGTAGCTAGCAAGCCCACGCGGCTCCATGAGCGTAACTATCAAAGGTCACTAGTTGAATCGAATTCTCAACTTCCATTCGTAACTCCTGGAACGTTGGCCCGTCGAGAAAGTGCGACGCCAGCGGCGCAGGATTTGGACAATCCAATGAATTTAATTCATTAGGCATGGTTTCTCTATTTGCTAGGTCGTATGTCGTCAAGGTCGATACTCTCGGGCTCAGAAGACTGTTGTCTTTCGAATCTTGCGGTTTTGTATTTAGAATCAAATTCGCAGTTGCACAGCGCCGAGATTTTTAGTTGTCGGGGTTCGTGCATGGCACTAGCGGATAATCTCATATTATGCGCCACCCTACGCTCATCCTGACGTCCCTATCTCTAACCTCTTAGAATTTTGTTCACGCCATGATTTCTCCCTTTAACAGGCATTTCTCATCTACCTGATGCTCTTATATGTACAGCAAGTCTTCAAAGGTCATTACCGCAGAGGTCTTGGGATACTCGCCTCAGGTGCAGTCCAGTCGCATGCATAGTAGCCAGCCTCTAAATAGAGACCTGGCTCGTTGTTCCACTGGACCTTGGGCTCACCGCTCTTATGCCTAACATAGCCATTATGGAACACGGCACCGATGTTTCGGCCGTTGGAAAAAACGGACAGGCACTATTGCACCAGACGTCATGGGAAGGGGAGGTTGAGATGGCCAAGCTGCTCATTGAAGGCGGTGCCGATGTTTCGGCGGCTGACAAAGAGGGGCAGACACCATTGCACCGGGCTTCAGAAGGAGGGAATGTTCAAATGGCTAAAATGCTCATTAATCGCGGTGCCGATGTTTCGGCGGCTGACAAAGAGGGGCAGACACCATTGCACCGGGCTTCAGAAGGAGGGAATGTTCAAATGGCTAAAATGCTCATTAATCGCGGTGCCGATGTTTCGGCGGCTGACAAAGACGGGCAGACACCATTGCACCGGGCTTCAGAACGAGGGAAGGTTCAGGTGGCTAAACTGCTCATTGATTGCGGTGCCGATGTTTCGGCCACTGACAAAGACGGATGGACACCAGTCCAGCAGGCTTCGAAGAAAGTACGGACGCGGCTAAGCGAAGTGCTAATAAGTCGTGGTACGGATTGAACGACTTCACTGATAGGGGTCGAGCCATGAGTAACCACTCGCGCATGCCCCTTCTGCAAGTGTGAGAACTACAGCCGTGGTTCAAACTAGCATATCTTGAGAGCACATTCCCTGCTAGTCGGGCGATGTTTACGACCGGTGGTCTTTTCGACGTGACGATTGTTATGCTTGTTCTAGTGTGATGAATTTTGGTGATAGAGCGATGGTCGTCGTCAGGCCTCGCAATCAATCTATCCCATCCACCCACCTACCAAATGGAATGAATTGACGTGAATATACGCAATTTGCCTTAGAGATTGATCCAGTTTGTGCTCAGATTAATTGATTTATAGTAGATTGATCCAAAATTGAAACGGAACTACCTTCCTAATTAGGATAATACGATGGGATCAGTATTGGTGGTAGGTAGTTGCTGACTGGTCGTTTATCTTGACCCCTAAACTGCCACTATATAACTCCTTCCGGCTTTGCGGGCCATTTGCATAGATTTAATAGGTGACTGATCGGGCAGCATCGCGATCAGTCATTTTAGCCAATTCCTCCGATTTTTGGTGTTCTGACCAAGAGTTCAGAATTGGATCAAGATCTTGCACAGCGCCAGCGCTGTGCCACGATCGAAGGACTTGGCAGATTAGATCCCTACCCTTGCGGCGCTAAGAATATGGGGTGAACAGGCAGACGGGACAGACGATTCGATATTCCAAAATATTCCAACCCATTTTTGAACTCCCATTTAGGGCTTTTAACTGCCAGGGCTGTTTCTGTACAGTTTCTGTCCTATTTTACTTTTCATATTCGAGCGGAACAATGTTGCTTGAGAGGTTGTCTGAGACGAGGAGTGGACGGACTAATCCTGAACTCAGTCCATTATCTTGGCCAGTAAAAACGTCATCTCAGAATTGTACGGTAGCCCGTGTAAAGATACCCTCCTACACAAGTTTGATCTCTGCAGCAATGGAGCAGGGATCCGTTGGAGGTCTCTCAAATCAAATTTACGCTAATGCCTCTAGGCCCAAAATTGCGGTGGCTGACGTCCGGCGACGACTTGAAGGGCCTGGAGAATTCCGGCGAGAGGCTTTCGTAGCTTCGTGATCGGTGCGATAACTTGTTACAAGTACATGGCCTCTGCACGCAATGTGGCACAGGGCCGAAAAGACAGCCAGACTGGACCTGCGAACCGCATAAGTGGCTGAAGCTGGTCGACGTTGGCGGGTCAAGAAATCTCCGTCGCTGCTGATATCATGCACGTGGACACATAAAAATAGACAATAATTACCCGGACATCATCCTGAGCGAAACTAACAGCTTGTGAATGAGTGGCTTATTGAGGGTAAGATAGAGCCGAACAAGGCAATCGGTACGCGACTGCACCATTGGATCGCCTGGGGCAGAAAAGCCATTTGAAGTCTTTATTCAAATTTGTGTAAGGTGTCTCAATTTGCGTGAGAGGACGAATGAATACCCAGCCGTAAGGGCGTTACAGTCTTGTCGGGCAAATGGCTAGGGGCGAGAGATGTAGTCCTTCGTTGCCAGGAATCTATGTTACAGTAGCGGGTGATTGGCGGCGATCTACTGCAGTGGAAAGCGTGACCCGCTCGTGGTGAGCTCGACGTTTGTCGCCTCCAGGTGTATCCTTTGGCAGGAAGAATGCTCGTGGTCAAAGTGAATATGCTTAGCTCAAAGGCGGATTTGAATTGCATTAGGTTCCTTCGTCCGAAAGATGGTAGTGTGGACGTGACTACGGTAGGTAACGAAAACGGCTTCCGCTTTGTCTGGCAAAATTTGTTAACAAAACATCCATTTTCGGCTTTACACAGTGTCAGGAATGAGGGTACTTCTAGATACCTGGCAGTACTTCACCAGAGCCACTCGTTCTGTCCGTGTTGCGCCTTTAGTCCTGCAAATGAGCACAAGGCGACGAACGAAATCCACAAATGACTTTCCTGCCCAAGTAAAACGCTGAAATGCATTATAGACCGACCATTCGTGACCTCACGTCGTGCAGTAGCGTTGTAGGCTGGGGGATTTAGACGCGTCTGCCACGTGCTAGGCCTGTCCGTAGGGCTTAGTGCTTCGTTTCCGCCTAAAGCCCCTCTAGAGCTCGGGGGACCTGAGCGCTAAACCCCGCCTAGATAGCCCTCGCTTAGCGCTGATGAAAGGCTGGATCAACATGCAGACAGCATTCTAGAATCTTCCGCATTGATGCTCTTGCACAATCACGACATCGTTGCTACTCCCCAATTCCAACGTTGCTTCGTACATCACCAAAGAACGAAATCTTCTCCGTCTCATTCCAAGTAAACGTGCCCTCCCACCAATGAACACCCTGACATCTACGTCGATCTCAACGACCGATACCTTAGCCTGTCGAACCCGACATGAATGCAGTATCCGTAAGTGATCGAAAGACTCTGCAGTACGTACCTGCGATTGCGTTCACGACAAATAACACCGGAAGACTTCAACGATCTCGATTGACATGAAGACTACATTCGTCCACTACATCTATCGAGAAGGTCTAGCATATACTGAGGCAGGATCGCTGTTGAGGCATACAGGCACAGCTTGATTGTAGGGTTAAATATCTTCGCCGTTCACGTGGGCCTTGTATGATTTGTTGCTATAACTACAGTACGTGATACAAATGTGAGGTTACCATAAGATATTGAATGCAAGACTGTTCATGCTGCCCATCATTCAAGGATGAACTGCTTCCAGTTCCTGCTTTCGAGTCTCCATCATTTCCACAAATACCTTCCGATCAGTTTTCCCTAATGTGGGATGCAACCGCATGTTGGCCTTGGGCGCTAGCTTGATCCCGACGGTATTCAGTCGATTTCATTCATATTAGTCGCGGCACTGGATTGATGGATGAACTTGGCACATTCCTCGACACCAGCACTTCAAAATTACAGACGGTGCTCAGACTCGGGAACAGGCGAACTACGTTTTATTTGCCTTTACGCACTATTGGGCATTATACGGCCAGCAACCACGGTTAAAAAGAGTATCTAGGATTCTTGATGCGCCGGAGTCCTCAGTGTCCTCGAAGTCGATGTTGCCCACTTCTGAGCAAGACGCTGTTCCTTCCAAAACGTAGTCTTCCCATTGTTCTTCTTCCCATCGATTTAATGTCGATAGCGAAGACAGATGATCTGGATGCTGTGCACCAATGATGCGTGATTGCATTGCAACACACTGTGCCATCAAAGCTAGTGCTTCCCTGTCTCGATCTAGTGCTTTCCACGTGCAGGCAAGATTGTTCATGCTGGTCAGCGTGTCTGAATGATCCGCTCCCAGTTTCTGCTTGCTCGTCTCCATCACTTCCACCTCCAGCTTCTTCGCTTCCTCCCACCGACCTTGATTCCAAAACGTCGACGCCAAGTTGGCCATGCTGGTCAGCGTGGAAGGATGATCCGCTCCCAGTTTCTGCTTGCGAGTCTCCATCACTTCCACCTCCAGCTTCTCCGCTTCCTCCCATCGACCTCTAAGTTTGTAAGCCAACCCTGCCATGGTAATGCTGTTCAAAGCATCCTGGTGCTCTCTTCCAAGAAGCCTGGTCCTGACTTTCATGGCAAGAACGTATACTTCCTCCGCCTCATACCCGCTACCTATTCTCTCATAAAACCAGGCGGTCAAGTAGAGAATCGATGCCCAATCTAGCAATGCTGCGTCATCCTTCAATTTGTGCCTCGAAGCCGCTCTCGCATGCGGCAGTAATGTTTTCCATGTTGCCCAATTTTCGTATTGTCCATTAGGCAGATTGGTGGAAAGATTGCTGATAAACTGATGCTTCCACCTTTCTTCCTGGCCGTCATTTGCAAGCCACTTTTGCATCGCTATTTGTACCAGCCGGTGCATCTCGAAGACGTCACTACTCCCCGTAACGGAAACGAACGAAAAGTTTCTTAACAAAATAAGGTCATCCTTGAATGTATCTCCATCGCTGGATGCGGAGTCGCCCGAATCCCAGTCGCCGTCATTGTCATCCTCGAGAACGCTCGAATTGCCATCGCTTCCAGTCAACTCAGCATGATTATCAACCCCACGCATTCGAAGTAGATATTCAGGTATGCCTTGCCGATCGAAGTAGCTCATGAGTGCTAGCAGGTCTGCTGACGATGGCCTGGTTTGGCGAATATAATTGAAAGATATGTGCCACGTGATGATAATCGAGTTCTTGGCGTCGCGATCTCGACGAAGCTGGCCGCCTTCGTAGTCCAGCAAAGTGACTCTCTTTCGATCACTTTTCTCAAACATCTCCAAGTACTGTCCCACTGAGCAGCGCGGCGCTCTGTGCGCAATGTAAGCAGTCGCCTGTACGATGGCCAACGGCATATATTCTAGCGCAACGACAAGCCGCGTGGCAGTTGTAATCGTTCCCAGGATCCGGTCAAGCAGGTCTGGCCAAGACGAGCTATGGCCGCATCCCAGAACCCCCTTGTAGCTGTCAGGGCGCGTTCTTCGTTTTTATTCTTGAGCGTATTTGTCCGGGTATGCTTGTTAGAACTCGGACAAATGGTAGAACGTTGAAAAGATGAAATACGCTAACACTAATGGCGAGTGTGACATAAACACAAAAGCTATCAAAGTCGGAGGGCTGATTGTTGTCGTAAACTCTATCACAAGCTTTTTTGGCATCGCCAGTAATGATCATGGTATCAATATCAACACAATAGATTCGAAGCAATTACCCGTACCAGGAATTCTTAGATCTCATGCTACGTGCGCGAACAGCTCTTCGACCTCCTTCAATCGACCCTGAAGACTGTACGTCGACGCCAGGTTACTTATGGCGGTCAGCGTGTCTGGATGCTCCGCGCCAACTACCCTCTTCAAACCCTCTATCACTCTCACGAACAGCTCTTCGGCCTCTTTCAATCGATTCTGTCCCATGTACGTCAACGCCAGATTGTTCATGGCGGCCAGCGTGTCTGGATGCTCCACGCCAAGCACCCTCTTGCGAGCTTCCACGACGTGCACGAACAGCTCTTCGACCTCCTTCAATCGACCCTGAAGACTGTACGTCGACGCCAGTTTACTCATGGCGGTCAGCGTGTCTGGATGCTCCACGCCAAGCACTCTCTTACGAGCTTCCATAACGTGCGCGAACAGCTCTTCGGCCTCTTTCAATCGACCCTGATGACTGTACATCGACGCCAGGTTACTCATGGCGGTCAGCGTGTCTGGATGCTCCACGCCAAGCACTCTCTTACGAGCTTCCATAACGTGCGCGAACAGCTCTTCGGCCTCTTTCAATCGACCCTGATGACTGTACATCGACGCCAGGTTACTCATGGCGGTCAGCGTGTCTGGATGCTCCACGCCAAGCACCCTCTTGCGAGCTTCCACGACGTGCACGAACAGCTCTTCGACCTCCTTCAATCGACCCTGAAGACTGTACGTCGACGCCAGTTTACTCATGGCGGTCAGCGTGTCTGGATGCTCCACGCCAAGCACTCTCTTACGAGCTTCCACGACTTGCACGAACAGCTCTTCGGCCTCTTTCAATCGACCCTGAAGACTGTACGTCGACGCCAGGTTACTTATGGCGGTCAGCGTGTCTGGATGCTCCACGCCAACTACCCTCTTGGAAACCTCTATCACTCTTACGAACAGCTCTTTGGCCTCTTTCAATCGATGCTGTTCCATGTACGTCGACGCCAGATTGTTCATGGCGGTCAGCGTGTCTGGATGCTCCACGCCAAGCACCCTCTTGCGAGCTTCCACGACGTGCACGAACAGCTCTTCGACCTCCTTCAATCGACCCTGAAGACTGTACGTCGACGCCAGTTTACTCATGGCGGTCAACGTGTCTGGATGCTCCACGCCAAGCACTCTCTTACGAGCTTCCATAACGTGCGCGAACAGCTCTTCGACCTCTTTCAATCGACGCTGTTGCTTGTACGTCAACGCCAGATTCGTCATGGCAGCCAGCGTGTCTCTATGCTCCACGCCAAGCACCCTCTTGCGAGCTTCCACGACGTGCACGAACAGCTCTTCGGCCTCTTTCAATCGACCCTGAAGACTGTACGTCGACGCCAGGTTACTTATGGCGGTCAGCGTGTCTGGATGCTCCACGCCAACTACCCTCTTGGAAACCTCTATCACTCTTACGAACAGCTCTTTGGCCTCTTTCAATCGATGCTGTTCCATGTACGTCGACGCCAGATTGTTCATGGCGGCCAGCGTGTCTGGATGCTCCGCGCCAACTACCCTCTTCCAAACCTCTATCACTCTCACGAACAGCTCTTCGGCCTCTTTCAATCGATTCTGTCCCATGTACGTCAACGCCAGAGTGTTCATGGCGGCCAGAGTGTCTGGATGCTCCACGCCAAGCACCCTCTTATAAGCTTCCATCAATTGCACGGACAGCTCTTCGGCCTCTTTTAATCGACCCTGATAACTGTATACCAAGGCTAGGTTGTTCATGGCGGCCAGCGTGTCTGGATGCTCCGCGCCAACTACCCTCTTGGAAACCTCTATCACTCTCACAAGCAGCTCTTCGGCCTCTCTTAACCGTCCTGCCCTATAGTATAGCTTACCTATCACCCATATATTGCCTGCCGCTTTGCTCTCTGGTATGAATGAATCTTTAGGTAGCGGAAGATGGGGGATCATATGTTGCCAAAATTGTGCATTTCCTGGTTCGGACAGGGCTTTGCTAGCCGCAGCTGCCATGAATATGGAATAATACAGGTTCCATGACTGTTGTGACTCGCATGTGTAATCAAGCTTTGCCCTCCACTGCACTAATGAATGCATATTGACTCCAGGGTAGTTTGCCTTGGAATATCGGACTAATCCGAAAAGCCGAAGTGGTTTCAGGGTCTCTTCGAATGTGAACCTGTCCCACTGGTCATTTTCATTCACGCTCAACAACTCCAAAAGCCACCGGGGAAGCTCAACTGTTCGCATGTTGGGCCTTTTGGCCAGGCCTTCAGCTGCAAGGCGGAATATTTCGTCCTGAATCTTGGCAGGATCCATGTGAGCGAGGAGGGTGAGTAAAAGCCTCGACGGGAATGAAGACATCTTGTCAATGGCGTCCAGACTAGTATCCCATACCGTCCATATAGTTTGGTTATATAGTGTTACACGCTTTACCATGTTGTCTTTTAATAATTGGTTCTTGTGGTTTTTGTAGTCTTGCAAGTATCTCTCAAGGCAAGGTTTTGGATCCAATTCGATTTCCAAATACTCGTCGTCTTCCAGATCCACAACTTTGTAGCAAGAATGAATATAAGCACCCGCAAGATGAATTGCGAAAGCAAGGTGTTGCAGGTTTTCGCATATGCTCAGAGAAAGATCACGGATATCTTCCGTTACTTCTGCGGCACCGAGGTTCAGATGCCGCAATAGTAGAGAGATTGACTCTGAGGGCTTCATGATGTCCACCTGCAGTTTCTGGCTTCCAAGGGGGAGTACCTCTACGCACTCAAAGTCTCGACTGGTGATGATGATACTTCCACGTACTCCGGAAGGAATAACATCTCGCAAGCCGCCGTCAAGGTCATCCGCATTGTCTAGAATAACGAGCCATTCGCCATGGAACTGATTCCTATTTTGGAGCCAAGATAGGACAATACGAACGGGCGGGTCATCTTTGAGGGCGACCAGATCAGGCACTGTGCTATACGTCTCAGTCAAAAGCTTCAGTTCTCTAGCACATCGCTGAAAACTTGATCGTATCGTCGCTTCACTCCTCGCATCGATCCAAAGAATGGTGTCGTATCGAAGTTTATGCCTTTCCGCGTATCTAAGCGCCAATTGGGTCTTGCCAGTACCCCCGAGACCGAAGATCGCCACCGCATGCGCTACCTGGTCTGATCCCTTTAACGGTTTATTGAGTTTTTCTTCGAGATCGTCAGAAAGACTGCTCCTTTCTGTGTAGAGCTTCTCGGCTTCGGGTATCCAGGGCCTTGACGTCCCCATTATGATTGCCTCCATCAGCTCAACGAGTTTGTTTCTTATCTTCTTGTAATTGGAATCTCGCTTGGCGAACTTATTTAGTCCTGAATGATCTGTATGCAGACCTATAGTTTCCGCATTAGGTCGGTCCAGTGTGGCAGACTGCTCCTTGACAACCTGTAACGGAGTCAGCCTAGTAGTTCACCACACAATTTATCCGCCCTTACTTACAAGGCCACTCCAGAGGCCCCAAAATCCCTGTGTCTCTTGCTTTTCGTAGAAGTTGACGATCCGCACATGGTCTGAAATTGCCTCAAATTGCCGGTGCATATCCTGAAGCTCAACAGAATCGTAGGTTATTGCCTCCACGATAGATGGTGACGCCTTTAAGCCGAAAGCGCGAACAATTTGAGCTGCCTTTACAGCAAGCGAAGCAGAAGCGGAGCCGCGATGTGGTGTTCCTAGGAATATAAGAGCCTTGATCTGCTGGAAGATGTTGACGGGGCGCCTTGTTTGAAGAAATTGAGCTTTAATTAGAGCCTTGAAAATCTGCAGTTAGCTTCTAGTCTAGATAAGGGCCGGGGCTAGTCATGCGATTTGCCATGCGTACGGCAGCAGCAATTCAGGGAAACATACTTCTTTTACTACGAGGCCGCCATAACTATGCCCGACGAACACTATACTTCTCTCTGGGGTCTGTTAATATTTAATTAGACAGTTGTTCCCAAAAGACTTGAAGTCTGCTGACCTTCACCGCCATTGAGGCAACCTCCTCAAACAGCTCCTGACCGAGTCGGCTGCGACGCTCCTCAATAGCATCTCTTTTCCAGTATGAGTCGTAGTTGTAGAAGAAGACGCGGACGTGCGGTCGAACGTTGGGAGGGAGATCTTCGCAGAGAAAGTCGGTCACCCAGTTGACATAGTTCTTTCCTGGGGACAGGGAATCAGCTTGGTTATGAGAATCATTTTTAGCCAACTTTTTCCAGGTAGTATCTGGGTTAGACCCGAGGCCGTGAATAAGGATAATGCTGCAGATTGATGTAAGCGCAGAAGTTATGCAGGGGAACAATCTACTTACTCTACGCCGGTCGCAGTCACGTTAGAATTAAAACAATCGACTGGCACGAGTTCATATCCGCTTTTCGGGGCATAATTCGAGTCGAGACGTGATGGTACGACTTTTTGTATAATAAACCGGGCGGCCAGAAGAGTCAAAATAGCGATCCAGAGCTGTCGGAACCCTAGAGTGATTTCCATTGTGACATTCCGGATCTTGGGGGTCGAGGAACGGTTATGGTCGTGTTGATACGAATTCTCAGGATACTCTTGCGGCATTGACGTTAAATAATGATGTGAGTTATGGAGCTTGTGAAAACTCAGGCTAAGGACATCATGGTTTGCATGTGAAGTCGACGAAAGCGCGGGGTGGGAGCATGGCTAAGCGAATAGCTATACCTCGACAACCTCGACACCACAAGAGAAAATCTTGGGGCCAAAAGCTTGTTATTGGCAGGGCTCTAAACCTAATTTCTGGTTTATAGTTTGAGTTTCTTAACTCAATGAGTCTGAGTTTGAGTTAGTAGGGCTTCAACTAAACTCAAAACTCAAGTTTGAGTTAGTAGGGCTTCAACTAAACTCAAAACTCAAGTTTGAGTATATAACTTTCATTACTATGTACAACTCTAGCTATTGCGGAGCGGAGGGACTCTCTGCAAAGACGTGACTCGCCGCTGTTCTTAGTCGGGGCGGAATGGGGTATTCGAATTCTCTCCTGCAAGCGAGTGCACGCTCTTTCTGTGAGGAATGAGATGCTTATTCATGCAGTTACCTAACGGCCGTCAAACGCAGAAACGTGAGTGAAACCAACGTGACTAGGGATCAGGGAGCGAGATTAGCGTTGCCCACAATCGTGAAAGAGCACTCGAGCTACAGAGAAACGGCGAGAAAGAGAGTACATAGCGGAGATCGGTCGGGGGCGCGGGGTTGAAATTCCCTTTTATTGGCTGCCGGCAATCAGCTGCTGTAAGCTCTGGTGTGGGCTATCACGGTACCTGCTCCTTACCGTATAATTGGCTAGCTAGTATATATGTGCACCTACTGCCTAGAGAGGGCTTTTTCTGAATATAAATATCCTCCCGATTCTCCCATCATAGGAGCCCTAATGGCCGCGCCCGTTAACGACGTCCCTTTCAAACGCACGGATGCCCTCAATGACGAGCGTCTCACGCATACATCCGACTATAGTACCAATCTAAACCCATTATTGACTGCGCCGCAAAACGACCACGAGATCATCGACCATATTCCAGGCGAGCCGACCATACCATTCAGGGAGAATGAAATCTTCCTACAGAAGGAGCTCACCACCCCAGTCTTGGATGAGCTTTTCGATATCTTGTGGCTAGTTGCAAAGGAATCTAGCAGCAATATCGATGCCCTCCACAGGCAGATTATCAAGGGCAGAGACATTGTGCCAACGGAAGACCCGAAACTTCACCTTATATGGCAGGAAAAGCGAATATTCATAAAACCAATACCTCTCTGCTTACTCAATCACGACTTCTGGAGCATTGTTTTTTGCACGAACTCGAACACGGCGTCAAGAATAACTTCTACCTCCGGTTCGCAGTCGGCTGGAGAGCGATCGTCCGCGCCGGTGTCCGCGCCGAGCTCTTACAGAGCCGCTGCGTCAGGATTCCTGCGATCTTACGCTCTCCTTATCCAACATCGTTCGGACTTTCGGCTCGCAAAAGAATATCATCTCATCCCGGAGGACGTCAACTGGGCCAAATGGTGCAAGTTTATTGCCGGCTTTCGCGACCTTCCCGATAAAGAGGTTGCGAAACGCTATTCATACGGTCAGCTTCGCCTCACACGACTGAACTGGGCTACCCGCATATTTTGTCCTAAAAGCGCTGTGACCTGTTGGTTCTACGAGGAGCCTTATTGGTCGACTTTGCCTTACATTCGGGACGCTGCAGTACCACTGGCTTTCATCTTCGCCAGTGTATCGCTCATTCTATCATCAATGCAAGTCATGCTTGCTGTTCCCACTCAGCGCCTATTCTCCAAGGGGTTAGCAATGGACAGCTCGAAGCAATGCAACTTACATCTTGGGGATTTTCTATTGCAACATTAGTTTTTTCAGGCTTGTGCTTGGCGCTGTTAGCCCTAATTCCTTTGATTGTAATCGTTTGTCAGCTGTCTTGGGCGATTTTCCACAGGAAGAAGAAAGTAACAGGCGAAGTTCCTGCGGATGCGACGCAAGGGCCTGAATTAGCATGAAGCCTCCCATCTCTCTGCGCTCTATTCCAAGTCCTTATCTGCCTTGCGTTTTACTGTTAGGAGAGCTTTGATACTACGGTTGGCCCGACATCTGTCTCGTTCTAGATCGCGCTTCCAGTTGCTATCGCATACTAACTAGTTGACCGGACCGCTTCCATGTCTAGTGCCCACTGTTTGGGGCCGGATGCCGCCTAACCTCAGATATAACGAGACGTTCTCCATTATAGAAGGGATAGGCTGGCTAGGGTTTGGGTTAGAGGTAGTACTTTCCCCCCGGGGGGGCTATTTTCTCGATTTTATGTATTTATTCTATAATATATATATATATCTATCTTTCTCTTTACTAGGCTATAATTCCGTCCCTCGAGGTACGGAAACTGTGAGTAGAGTGAAAAGCTGACTGACTGGCTGGCTTACTTTCCGGAAGAACGAATTTCTGACAGCCCACCTCCGGAAGCTGATATGGGTACTGTTACGGGCTATGGGCCGTGTATCAGTTGTCAGCTAAAGCCTTCAACCATGAGCGCGACCATGAAGCTCAGCCCGACTAGCTTATAGGCACGGCTGCCGGCAGTGCACTTTCCCCAAGCAATAAGGTTTCGACGGACTGGCGAGGTGGCGAATCTGCAACTACAAATTGTGCCCATCATATGGATGAAAGGTTGTGTTTCTATTCTTTTTCAAGCTTTAGATGCTCGTCAATAGGATAGTCAATTGAAACGTACATTGACTGCGCCTTTCACACCATGGGGATCGAGTTGCAGGGCAAGCAAGATAAAATCAGGGGGAAGGAGACAGCGGGGGTTGCCACACGAGTGGCTCAACGCCACTACGAGTGACTCGGAACGTAGCAGTGTCGTGAGGTCGTCGCTGAAGTACAGATGTCCCCAGTGTACAATATGTGATGGGAAGAGAGGAATAGGGAGAATATAGGCGGTCGAAGAACTGGATCTCAGATTTTGGGAGCATTCAGATGATGAAAGTAGAAAGCTGGAGCAAAGGCGCAACTGAGGCGAAGAGACTAATCATTGTATCGAAAGAGAGGTGGAAAGCATATGGACGGCGTCGTCATGGTGGCCGTTGGAAGTCTCGCAGACATGCAATCTAGCTGATGGGGCCAGATCGATCACTAAACCGGTCGGACAGACAAGCCTAGAAGTGATGATTATGTGAGTTCGGAACTGATTTGCAAGTGGCTAAGCCCAGTACGCATTTGAGAACATGGCGTGCTGCAAGCAGGGTAGCCGAAAATGAATTCCATACCTGTACAGTACTGTACTGCACGTAAAGATCCACTATTCATGAAATACAATTCTGGTATCCCAGACCGGCCCCACATGGATCGATTGATGCGGGGCCCATTGGCGGCAATGGCTTGACAGGACGAACAAGGGCAAGAGGATCCGCTTCCTGCTGTAACGGTTCAGGCCTACAGGGCAGCCAGTATCGGATCCATGACTGAGTACAGTATCAAAACATGCCCACCTGTCCAGGAGACTTTCCCCGACCACGCCAGAAGGACAAACGCAAGTCCAAGTCCAAGTCCAGCCACCAACGGCACAAGGAAAATATGGGGCGACGACGAGACGACCCACAATAAACGAATATATAAGCCCGTCCATCTTCTCGTCGAGTTCCATTTCTTTTCTTTCTTCCTCATCACCTTCGGGTGTTCCGTCTGTCAGTCCTTCGTGGCGGCAGATGTAACGTCTTGACGCTCTTGGAGCCGACAGACAACCCCACGTGGAAGTCCTGGAGACTACACGTGATGTTCTTCGCCAGCATCTTCGGATCTGGCGGGTGAAAGCCTTCTGTTGTCGCTTCGCGATGGCAGCTTGTGCCGTCTGCAGGTTCTTGGAGCCTACGGATGACCCCACGTGGAAGTCTTGGAGACTACACGTGCTGTTCCTCGCCAGCATCTTCGGGTCCTGCGAGTGAAGCCTTCTGCTGTTGCTTCGCGCCGGCGGTTTGTGCCGTTTGCAAGTTTCTCCTGAAGCTTGCAGATGACCCCACGTGCAAGTCCTCGAGGCTACACGTGACGTTCCTCGCCAGCATCTTCGGGTCCTGCGAGCGAAGCCGTCCGCGACTTTGACTAGTCCGGATGTGTCATCTGGCAGGTTCTCTCGAGCCTGTCAGATGGTCCCCACCTGGAAAAGTGCTTCGAGCCTAGCAGATGAAGTTTCTTGCGGGTGCCCTCGGGTAACTAGCAAGTGACAGCCGTTTGCAAGTGCCTCGAGCCTACAAGCGATGCCCTCTGCAAGTGCCTCGAGCCTACCGACGATGCCATCTGGAAGTGCCTCGAGACTACAGGTGATGGATTACTCCCTCTTTTCCCGCAGACGTCCTACTCCCTAGGTTTCCTGCGGGGGGTCACAGATGTCCCAACCCTGTGTACCGGCCAGCGAAGGCGGCCTCTGCAACCTGTCCGTGGTGCTGGCTACGAACCTGCTGTCCTGGCAAGAGCTCTTTCGAGTCTTTCTTGTCGGGGTCAACAGAGCCAATGTAGAGACGCATCTTGTAGAATTTATGGATTTTCAGTAGACATTATGGCATACACGTACATAGATAATTGAATAAACGCTGGTTTCGGCTTGACCATTTCGCCAATGATGTATGGACTCACTATCATCGTGTCCCATGTCTCGTGTCGTTTCCTCGCCTCTTTCTCCATCTCTACCCTGCTTGACTGCCCTCACTGTATCTGACTGTCCATCAGGAGTATGTAAGTAAATACAGTACAGTTCTGGTCGGTCATGGCAGCTTGGTCATCTCTGTGCCGTTTCTGGTTTCGTCGCTGTCGCTGTCGCTGTTGTGTTGGCGACAAATCAGGGTCTTGTCACTGTCAGGCACGGAAACGAGAATCTCAGACAAACCTGTCAGATTGTGGGAGACAGCTAGGGTGGCCGATTTCGTGGTCCGCACGCAACGTGGATCAAGTGTGGAGACATTGCACCAATACTATACATAGCTGGTTCTGCTTCCGTACAATCATGAAAGAAATCAGAATGAGAATAATCCAAAAATGAGCGAAGGACGTCCATTGATCAAATCTGATTCTAGTTCTGGTTGGACCCCACCAGGACGCTTTTGAACATCGGTGCAGTACTGCTTCAAGCTTTGTTTGCGCATTTGCATACCACTTTTGAGGCGTACGGATTTGTCGCGCTGTTCCTCCTCAATCAGGTATAGCGTTGACCACTATTTGATCGCGTCAAAGTGGGCGGGCGTCGCGTAGCCGTTTTTCCCCACAACAAGCCGACCGATGCGCCTCTCTGTACTCCCTGTCGAAAATGGGACGGCCCGAAAGAGGCCACCGACGAAAAGCACGACTCAAAACCAGGCCTGTCCAGCCACCCGAAACGATCGCGACAAATTGCGACAGCCCATTTTCGGCCTGACGAGAAGCAGACACGACTCGTTCCCGACCGAGTGTACAGAAATGGTGGGCGACCCCCCGAGGTTTCGTGTCATGACTGGACATGATTCAGGACCAGCCTGTTTCTAGCATGTTCAGGCAACCTGAGATGCCATTTCTTGGCCCCCTCTCTGTACAGCCTGGATTGCGATGTTCGGCTGGAACTATGCATCAGCTGTCGGCCGGGTACGAATGTGCTCCTCTACCGAATGCGTCCCTCGATCAACTGCATCATTCACATCGTAACGTTGCAGTACAATACAGTACAATACTGTATGTACAGTAACAATACCGCGCGGAAGACGACACATTCAGTCGCAGGCTGGATCCAGAGATATGCACCAAGATGGGCAGCAGTAGCAGAAAGAGGCAGATACACCGTATACACTGATATGGTTGATCCTGCGCAGGACTCACTGATACAGTAGCAGATTACACATCAGTCTTGTCATGGTCACAGACACGGAAACGTTACGAAGTTAGCATGACGAACTAGACAAGCCTGTATGGCAACGACACAAGATGGGGCTGTGCATATTCTCTGTGCTGCAAGCTCTGTAGTGGAATCTCTGTAGTGACATGTCTGTAGTGGAAGCTCTGTATTGGAATCTGTGTCGAATGACACGTCTCTTATATTCACTACTCGACTATCTACTGCGTCTCTGCATTGGCTCTGTCATCCTGTCAAGACTACAAAATAGAGTCTCGGCCAGGACAAACAGATTCGTAGCCAGCACCACGGACAGGTTGCAGAGGCCGTCTTCGCTGGCCGGTACACAGGAGTGGACATCTGCGACCCCCGTCAAGGTTCCTGCACGCATCACTAGCGGAAGACAACATGTCTCCAAGAAGTCAGGACATTTTCGACTGTACTCTCTCTGCTTGGGTTCGGGCTCGGGCCGGGAAATGCGCAAAACGATAACGAGCCACGCCTCGCAATCGCCCACTCGTGTCGCCGCGCATTCCTGGGATCCGAAAGAACAAAAGACAGAGAGAGACTGAGGAAGTCAGTCAGACCAGCTGGATGACAGGGTCTCCTCGGCCTTTGAGCGTGCAAGCTCGACGGGTCTCCTGCCGGATTGGACATCGGTCTTAGGGGCATCCTGTACAGTATTGGCCTGTCCCTAGCGTGTCTGGCCATGACTTTGAGAAAACGGCGCGGATTAGTATCTTGCCGAGGCCAAGCCTTAGCCAATCACAGTTCGTGACATATCCGCAAGTCTTGAGAATTGTCTGCACCAAAGCATAGAATAGATTGTTCAGGATAAAATACGATAGGAAGCATCCGTATAGACAAAAGAACCCCCAATTTTTGATCATACCCTTGTTTGGGCTCTACCTGTGAGCTCAGACAACTCCGTGAGGCCCATTCTCAGTCTCTATTTCATCGAGATCAATAATGCCACCACCGCCAACTCCTTCGCCGCCGCCTCCTCCTCCTACTGGCCCAGCTATAACTGGGCGTGGCTGGGGCTCTTTCATATCAAGCATGTCGACAGGTCGGGATGCTGGAGTCAGGTTAGCCTTTTTTGAGATGGTCGTGGCTTCATCTTAGCTAGCCTTTGGCAAAGTTTCTCATACCTTGTCGATCTTGCTATAAGTGTCAGTGACAATTCACTGCAGCAACGATTGGTGTCTGGCAGATAGAAATTTCCACAGCAGGTTTATTTGGGAAGAGTTTGTGGGGTAATTGATATTTCCAAAGCTTTCAGGTCAGTTTCTGGGGAAATAGGTGATAACTTATACTAAGCGCAGTGACAAGGATCCGTCAGACCGGCTGAGTATGTACATGCAGAGGTATTATGCCCGTGCACATAGTGAACCAAGTGGTGAGAAAGTAGGCATATATAAGCGTCTTGTGCCAAGAATTAGATCTCAAGACTGGCTATGTCGATGTTAGGAGATTTCAAAACAATAGCATAACTCTGTGATGTGGCATAGGCTGACGCAGGCTGTGTCGGATGTACAATCTATTCTACTAATTCTCATGTTGGTATCCGAGTCTATGGATTGCAGCAAGCATAAACGAGACAGCAAACAGTAAAGATATTCATTCGAGACAAAACTGCTTGATTATAGACCAGTCTACCTGCGGATAGTGCCAGATGCCTTGCATCAGACTTACCCACGAAGAACTGGCTGTTGCCTTGTTTATCCCTGAAACATTCATTGAGAGCATGGTGAGATATTGTCCATCTCAACCCCTAGACTGAGGCGATCTTTTACCATCCATGCTGCCTCTCTGACGCCAATTGCTTATTAACATTAAGTGCATCCGGTACGTTTTTCTTGTGTCAAGGATCAAGATCCAAGTTGGATGTGCCAAATCAACTAGGATCCAATGACAACACACTCTTGTGACAGAATGACTTACATGGCCGATCGAGAGGATACATTTATGCACGGCCGCAATAACTAACCATGTAGAGTCACCCCGAGATATGTAGCAAGCAATCCCGGATGCTAGGATAGTTCACTACTGCTCTCACAGCTGGCGTAACGAAGTGACCGAGCCTGCTTTCCTTAGGCATTCTATGCTAAGTTCAAGCGTATTTACTGGCCCTGCTAGCCATAAACGCCGTGGCTGACTATCCCGGCAGCCGATATTTCTCTCTGCATATCTCGGACTAGGCCTGCGTAGCCAACCTCTGCCGTCTATGGACCCGTCTGCTTGATTAGCTATGGGTGTAGAAATTGGCCATGTAGGCTTGATTTGAGGCCTGCAAAGAATAATATCAGCTGCTAGGATACATGATACAGCACTCATAATTAGCGCGACCAAGGAATCCGGCTGAACTTCTGGTTTTACCTCCATTATGAACATTCGGATGACTGACTAGCCGGCCATGATCACGACCAAGTCTACGTACCAGAAGGCGCCCGACTGCACCCTGTAAAGCTGGTCAGCCAAGTCGAAGCACGAACGAATATGATTATAAGGTTTGATCCTGATCTTGCACCATACGACACTTCTTTCACTCCAGAATTTCCAAAGGACCAATTCGGTGTGGTTCGGAAAAGAACCCGTCCCAGAACCGTATTGGGGTCACTACCACCATTGTCTCTTGAGTGGGTCAAATCCAGAGTACAATCACTTTAGTACCAACGAAAGAAGAATGGCCGCATTTGAAGAACGATTGTAGGTCTCAATAGATGAAATTAGCTGCTGACGGAAGGGTCTCACTGTACCCAAATTGACCCTCTGTTTTAAGTAATCATGACGTTGGACAATCGCACCACAAGTGAATCGCTTGGAAATTAACCCCCACCCTGAGGCTCTTACAGTATCTCCGGCGGTTACTGTAACGTAGTCGTCTCTCATAGCGTGGTCCATGGACATGAATCGGAAAGCATTAGGACATTCTTGTTCTTGCAATAAATCATGGAATATGCCTTTTTGCTCGATTTATCTGCTTCTTCCCTTCTGCCGCAAGAGCCAGATATTGGTCCACACCAGTTCCACAAGACACGATTGTGTGGAGAGGGACAAAATCGGCTGCTATAACAACTTTCGGGTACCTCGAAGAGCACAAAGGTGACAGCAGTCTGCGACCTTTTTCATGTGCATGACAGACTTGCAGGTCAATATCTAGCCCGAGTTCCCATTCTGGTCGCCCTGGGACGAGCTCCCCTCCTTTTATAGATCTAGCATTGATCCCTTCGTATCCATTTCTGATGGATCCATAATTTCAATTCCGTCCAGCAGGAATGCCCACAAAGCGACGCTTTTACAACAACGTTCCTTGCTGATCTCAATTCGAGCTACATAAGTGTTCACGGTTATGGTCCAGGACGTGATCATACCCGCGGAACAGATCAGACATGGACTGCGTATGCATGGCATCCGCATCACCCCGCAGGATCTCACGAGGTGTGGTATGGAAGAGACCGATGGACCGCAAACATTCCCAGTGCTCGCGAAGCGTGAGTAGTCTGTCGAGCTGACCGGCGGCTATCGAATGGTTCGTTCGAGTCCGACCTTTCGTCTTTGCAGAACGTTTTGATGGACCAGAAAAGTTCCTCGGGTGAGGTCCTACGCTGGAGGTGGGAGCCATGGTGTAAGTCACCACTTGAGCTCAGGTGTATCACACCAGACCTCTTCAGGGAAACGTCTCCTGCAAAGATGAATACTATAACATAGTGTGCCGTGATGTCCGATATGCTCGTGAATTGGAGGAAATACCATTGACAGGTTATTTCATCGAGGACCTCGAGAACTTCGATGCTGCGTTCTTTGGTATTTCTCCCAAAGAGGCAGAGCAGATGGATCGCATCAGCGCCTGGCGCTGGTGCTGAGTTGGGAGGCTCTCGAGAATGCCGGAGTTGACCCCAAAAGTCTTAGTGGATTAGACATGGCCGTATTCCATTACGCATAGCCCATGCGCCTGTATCGGTTTTCATGAGCTGATGAGCATGGGTCCAGCTCTACAGTTGTGAGCTGTCTATAAGGTACGTAACATTGAAGCAAGCCTCGTGGGAGCATTGCAAATATATGCTGTCGCATTGCTTTGCTGAACACTTCCCCGCTTGTCGCCTTACCCCTCTTTCCGTGGTAGACACCGAGGGACAATCGTATCGCCAAACATTCCAACTGATAAAGATCTAGACATTTCGCATAAATTGATCACAGCTGCGGAGCAATCGCTGCGACGCACGACTTTGTCGCGACATCTGCCAAAATATAGGTCACCATTGTGGCATCAGATCTATGGCCAGGGTTTTAGATGATGAGTTGGTCTACTTGGGCACAGTCCCAAGGAGACACACATATCCTCAGTCATGTGTCCAGACACTAGCCAGCAACTCGAGCAACACACGAAAGAATGTAAAGCCAAATCAACCTTCGACAAATGCACACCGGAAAATGCGGAATTCATCAAAGAGACGCCATTCAAAGAACCTGCGACTTTCTCGTCAAACAGAACAGTCTCGATCACGTTCGGTCCCAGACGAGATCGTTGGTAAACTAGTCGAATTAGGTTCAACCAAGGCTTCAAAAGGGAGTCAAAGTGGGCAAAAGGTATTTGGCTATTTTAGTGCAGGTGGCCAATTCCTCCACCAGATCGGGCGAGACAATTATGGGAAGAGAGTATCACCAAAGAGTGTTGAATACCAATCGTATTTTCGAGGCTGCAAACCTCCTCAGGTGCGCGCAATGGTGTTTCGGTCGTTGGAAATGGCATTTGGCTCCTGCTTGGACGTTGGGGAGGTATAGCGGCCTAGGAGCTCTACTCTAGATGCAGGTTGGAAATTGACAAACACAATAGTACATTATTCCTGCAATGTTTTACCCATTTCGATGTGTTGCTCCTACGTTCTCACCAAACCAGAAAGAGATTCGTGCATTGTCTCTTGTACCCAACCGCTTTCATTGATGGGAGTTGAAGAAGGGGATCTAAGCCACTTTCGGGGTAGCTCACGGCCCATCCTTGCCTGAGGTAACCTGGTAGTTGTGTCATCCCCCATTTGTCACAAACTAACTCATGATGGGCCAAAGCCGGGCAAGATATCAATGGCAGGATAACAATGATCATCAAGACAGCGATATAACAATGAGCAGGATCAGCGAGTCTGCCGGCAATGGTACCACACTCTAGGCGCTGGAGAGCCCGCCAGGTTCGTGAGAGTTTGAACTGCGGCCTCCATAGTCGCAAACGACGTGGCCGCCCGAAATTCGTTCAGGCCAGCGTTCCATCAAACCTCCAACCTACGAATAAACCCGAGACTTTGAACAAGCATCAGCCGAGCGTGCCAAGCGAAACACATCGCACAGCGACTGGAAAGCGTGTTAAGTCCGGCACATTTTCTTCACTCCAAGACAGAAGCAATCGAGCCTCCATCCTTGTCGAGAAACCACACAATCCTGTAGGAGAGACTACGGACGAACGAGACTACTCAGCACGGCCGATCGCGAAAAGGATTAGTCGAGCGTCTAGCCATGAAGTGGGTAGCACTCCGACGACAACAGCTGTGCTAGGACGAAGATATTTAGATGAAGAAAGCATCGAGACGCAGGACCACGACGAGTCTCTCCCACCGAATCGGGATGAAGCTGTTCTAGCCGAACAAGACACACCAGAGAAGCTACTGCGCGCTTTTGCTGATTTCAGAGCTCTAAATCAGCGGCATGGATGGTCCGAATTGCGGAAGGTGCTGCTACAAGCACAGGCTGAGCGTCGCATGAGCGAAGTTAGCTCGCTTTCTACCGATACTAAATTCTGGACATTATGGGATATAAAAAGAGCACAAACTCTAGTGGTGAGTAACCCGGTCCTCACAGCAGAGACAATATTGATTTTCAGAAGGAGCTACAACACCCCGAAAAGGCCGACAGCAGTGTCATAGCGACGGAATCAGCAGGTAAAAATAGCATTGTGTCAAGCCTGCCAAGTCTATCGAACATGTCAACGAGCAGAACAGAAACACAAGTCGACAGAAGCGCTAGTGTTGCAAGCCCCGATCATGGTGACATTCTCCTCAAACCACCCGTATCTAGGCGGAAACGTCGCCCTCGCTCTGGAAATGGTAAATCTGCAGTTCGCCCATACTCTACGACCTCAGAGCCAGGTCAGAGCTCTCAGGGGGCGCCACTGACGCGTAGCGCCCGACGAGCAGCTAGGTCCTGTCTCCAACTGTCACGAGGCTCTGAAACGGAACGCCAGCCACGATCTCAACAAGTCCAACAAAGCCGACCATCTCGTCGATCAAGACTTACCAGAAGATCCAGTCCATCAGCCCTTGGGCAGAGCACTCAATTTGGACATGATGATCAACCTCGAGATCTCGTCGTAGATGCGTCATCAGACGTGGCCATGGCAGGGACACCACCATTGTACGCGTGGGCTATTGATGACATTCTAGAGCAGGATGATGAATTGTGAGACAGCATTCGTGCATGGTGGTATATATACTAACACGTGTGCAGATTGCCATGGATTGAGGAGCAACTTGACACACTCTCAAGCTTTCCTATAAGTGAGGACGCTGTTGAGCAACTACTCCGGATGCTGACTATAGAGCAAATATATGACCGTATGCTTACCATGACCAAGTGGCGGCAGTATGCACAACAGATGTTCACCATCCTATACTGCGCCCAGAGACACCTGACTGCGCTTGAACTGATTGACGCATTACTCGTTCAAGTCTGTGTATCCTGCGATCTGGATCCGAAGCATGCATCGTATAAAGCAGAAGCCCATTCTCAAATGGCCAACATATGCTTCACCGCAATGCTGCAGTCGCGACATGATGGCCACCGCCGACAAGTTCAAAAGAAACATCCATTTGTAGTGTACGCCATACAGTACTGGCCGGAACATCTACTAAGAGCGTCTTATAAGATGCACAACGACACTCAGTTTTCACGAATGTTTCGCGGTTTACAGGACTCTTTCTCCATGTGGGTCCACGTGTGGAATATCGATTTTCGTGGAGCTAAATTGCAGCAAGACAAATTAGTCTGCTCACTCTACTATGCCGCACTGTTAGGCCTTACCAATGTCATAACCGACATTTGCGAAAGAATAAACTCTCGGTCTGATCCAACACTGAGGTTGGCTCAAATACTAAAACAAAGAGGCGGCAGTCATGGCACAGCACTTCAGGCAGCTTCTTACGGAGGTCACATGTATGCGGTTGAGCTGCTCCGTCAGAAGGCTGCTGACGTGAACACATGATCACGGCGAGCCAGACTATGCAAAGTGCACCGGGCGTGACGAAGAATTCCAATCTCTGGCCGTCTTATGAAAGTGCTACTTCCACTTTTGATTCGGACATATTCACTACAAAAACTAGAGAATTCGGTTACATACATTACTCTGGACATGATACCGGAAAGCCGCCTTCTGGTTCTCATTTCAACCAGGCCGGAGGAGACTTGGTGGTGACCCTTCTCAGCGGAGGGGAAGAGACCCGCCAAGAATATCTCTGGCGCCATATATCAAAATCTACCATGGCAATCGTTACTTGTTCTGTTGAACATATGAAATCCAGCACACCTCGCCTAATTGGGTCCAGCGCAATCAGGCTATGTTGGCGGGCTGATTGCTGTGCGGTCTCTGCCGGCCGATGCAATGTTACCAACCGGCGCTAGATCGCCTCATCTATCACTCCACAATCGTCTGCGATGCCCGGTACGTGACTGTCATCAAAAGCGAAAGTTCAGGGAAATCTAAATGTGTTTTAGTAGGCAGTACCAATGCCTGGTCACATTGCGCCTCGGCGGCATAGATCTAGCCAGCGGCGTCAAGTACGGTTCCCTTCAACAAATCAATGGATGTTCGAGAAGCTCCTGTACGGATCAAGACACCAACGCGGCGTGTCATGTGTGAGTTTAGTCCAGCCAGACAAAGCGCATTGGCGCCAGCCCCAAGCTATCACCGAGGCAAGCGCCTGTCGTCGCGTTATGCGCGTTTCTGGGTGTTGGGGCTTGCATGCAGCTTGTAGTTCTTGTCCTGTGACAGCGTCCACGAAGTGCTGTGGTTGCGCTGTTTCGCCTGTTCACCGCGGATCGTGTTGGAGCCAATTTGGAGCATCATTTATAATTAACCTGTGCTAAGTTTGCAAGTCACCCCCTGTCCCAGACAGCCCAAGTCAGGCAAGGCTGTCCCTAACAGCATCACTGTGCCTTAGTAGCCGCATCGTCGGGTTCGAGACTCGCGCAAGTCGGATAGCCCTCCGTGTCTGCGTACGTAGGTGCAGCCAGGCTGCGTTTCTCTCGAGCCCTGCGAGTGGAAACGAGCTAGGAGTGCAGATCGGTTCGACAAGATCACCTTGACCCTCAAATGGTCGTGACGATCATGTTCACCCATGACTGAACTACATGCGCGAGGGATCGTCCTGTCCTCCCCACTCCCTTCTTGGGCTGGGCTTATGCTAGCGCGCCGCATCAAACCTCGCGAGAACGCGCCAGCCGCGGTGCGGTACTAGCTAGTCTTGATCTCGCGCGTTAGAGCTCGTGTTTGAACAAGTCCACCTTCAATCGGTACCTCCAGCCACATTGCTCAATGCATCATTCAGAAGATGACACAACCATGGTCATAAGGTGAAAGCTTAAATCGTAGTTGTACTATCTACCCGTTTACTTCTTGGCCACCCTCACCCAATTCCACTCTGGCGCTGCTATCGCCTGGGATCAGCTTGTCGCGTCCATGACTATGCTCGACGCGTCCTCCGCCAGCTTCATATATCCGCTTCGTCTTCGGGCCCACCTTGAGCGCTTCAACGTTCTCGTGATGTCGTTCGTGCTCCCATGCTCAATCGTGATCGTGGCTATATTGTGCGCTATATTTCTCCAGTTCTGACCTTGAAGTCCCTGTATTCTCGCCAAACAGCTTGTGCATTCGGCGAGCGAGTTTCCGTGCCATCGGCAGCGAGAGGACTTCCTGGATCGACTGTTGGTTGCAACAATCACAAGCCCGGCAAATATGTTGGTTTTTGACTGGCATCCATACATGCCTTAGCGGTGGGTGATTCCGTTTGCAGTATCATTCGCTGCCAGCCTTTTAATAATATCAAAGCTTTCGGGCGCGCTTGATGTGATTGTTTGTTCTTCGAATACGTCTCCCCAAGGCAGTGCTCCTCCTATGGACCTCCGGATGCAAGTTTTAAACGTGCCCGTCACCTCTCGTCGTCTTGCTGATAAAGTATGTACATGATGACTGTCATGTAATGGGTACGCGGTAACGATCGACAAAGCTTGACGTTTGCCACGAAAGAGACACATAACTGTTTTCGAGGCTACTGGCGAGGATCGCTCTTCTAAACAGCTGTCGGGATGAAGTTCGGTCCGTGGCAGGAATGTCATACGCTGTCAAAGATAAAGGCAACAACTGGATGAATGTCTATTAGAAGTGTAACGACGATTGTCGAAATGCACTTACAGTGGTACAGACTGGTACGTCTTTGCTGCGAAACATGAACAATCATCATAGCCTCGCAAAATTATTTTCCCTAAAAGCAATCTAGGATTGATTACCAGGATGAGGATGGGATGATCAACCACTCCGATGAACTTAGATCTTCTACTGGGATAACTAGCGTATGTGAACCATCATAGGTTAGTTTTGTTTTCTTCAGTGGAGACGGCCGTAGGACACCGAAACAGGTTTCCCATGGCGGGGTCGATCTTCGTTTGACTGGGAATGGCTGGTCTACTTAGCGTAAAAAGTGGTGGAAGATGCTCGAACATTCTTCAATTCTATCTTATGGTATATGTTTACCTCCTTCCCTGGAACCCTCCGTTGCAAAGAGATTGGAAAATGAAATACTGTAGATATTCAAAGTATTCAGCTTTTGTGAACAAATACAAAAGCCTAAGATAATAATGATAAGCGTGGGCGAGATGGGGTTTTGAATCTCAGTTATGTCCACAGCCGGACGGTGTGGTCGTACGACGCCGACGCCAGCGTCTTGCCGTCCGGCGAGAAGGCCAGGGCGTCGACCGCACCTCCATGGCCCCGCAGCGTCTGCAGCGGCGCTCCCGACCGGCCGTCCCACAGCCGGACGGTGTGGTCGTACGACGCCGACGCCAGCGTCTTGCCGTCCGGCGAGAAGGCCAGGGCGTCGACCGCACCTCCATGGCCCCGCAGCGTCTGCAGCGGCGCTCCCGACCGGCCGTCCCACAGCCGGACGGTGTGGTCGCATGACGCCGACGCCAGCGTCTTGCCGTCCGGCGAGAAGGCCAGGGCGCGGACCCAATGTCCATGGCCCCGCAGCGTCTGCAGCGGCGCTCCCGACCGGCCGTCCCACAGCCGGACGGTGTGGTCGTACGACGCCGACGCCAGCGTCTTGCCGTCCGGCGAGAAGGCCAGGGCGCGGACCAAACCCCCATGGCCCCGCAGCGTCTGCAGCGGCGCTCCCGACCGGCCGTCCCACAGCCGGACGGTGTGGTCGTACGACGCCGACGCCAGCGTCTTGCCGTCCGGCGAGAAGGCCAGGGCGTCGACCGCACCTCCATGGCCCCGCAGCGTCTGCAGCGGCGCTCCCGACCGGCCGTCCCACAGCCGGACGGTGTGGTCGTACGACGCCGACGCCAGCGTCTTGCCGTCCGGCGAGAAGGCCAGGGCGCGGACCCAATTTCCATGGCCCCGCAGCGTCTGCAGCGGCGCTCCCGACCGGCCGTCCCACAGCCGGACGGTGTGGTCGCATGACGCCGGCGCCAGCGTCTTGCCGTCCGGCGAGAAGGCCAGGGCGTCGACCAAACCTTCATGGCCCCGCAGCGTCTGCAGCGGCGCTCCCGACCGGCCGTCCCACAGCCGGACGGTGTGGTCGTACGACGCCGACGCCAGCGTCTTGCCGTCCGGCGAGAAGGCCAGGGCGCTGACCGCATCTCCATGGCCCTGCAGCGTCGTTTGAGCGTCGAACCGTTTCTTCGGATTCTGGAGCAGTGATGAATCTTTGTATCTCTCTTCAACCTGAGACTGATTTAGCATTTCCTGGTACGAGCCCGAAGATTTCACTGGTCTCCGCCGGATTGTCTGCCTGAACTTTGATTCAGCATTTGAGGAGATTGTCCTCCAGCTAGCTGAAGCACCCTGCGTGATATCTGGTTGGATAGTTAAAGGCTCATTCGTTTGGCTCATGTCCAGGCCAACAAGCTCGTCTTCGATGTTCATGCCTTGCGACACCATCCAACCATGATCAAAACATTGGCTTGTACTCATTCGATCATTCGGATAAACTGCCATGAGACGGCTTATGAATCCCCTACCTTCGTCTCCGGTGGATGACGGGAGCCGGTCTGATGGAAATTTCTGCTCTCCTTTACAGTATTCGAACAGCTCACATTGCGAGGAGAATGTGGGCTTGCCAGTCAGCATTTGAAAAGCGATCTCCCCTAACGCCCACATATCTGCTGCTTTGAACCCAGTGATGTCCTTAAGGCATCGGTTGCCAAACCCGACTAGCTCTGGCGCCATAAACCCCTCTGTGCCTTTGATTGTAGTTGGAGGTCCATTACCTTCGTCCGCTCGTTTACTGATACCGAAATCAGCAAGTACTATCCACCATTTCTCGCCCGGCGGCCTAGATTTCACAAGAATGTTCTAGTAATGTTAACGCACAGCTATGTAGTGTTTATATCATACATACTCCAGGTTTTAGATCCCTATGGGCAAAGTCATTTTCGTGCATATGATGAAGACCTTCTAACATCTGGTACGTTAAATGTTGGGCTTCTGTACTAGTTATGGAACCTTGCTTAGAGAGGTAATGGCGTAGGTCGCCATAAGGACAATACTCCATTGTAATGAATATTGAGGTCGTGTCTTCATACCAGCCGAATGACTCTATAAACCAGCTGTTATACTATAGTCCCAATGTCAAATCATAATGCCGTCCTAGAATGATTGAACTTACTCGTTTTTGCGAGAACTTTGCAATGGCCTCCAACTCTCTTTCGAACTCCATGGGTTTTTTTTTCGTAGAGCCGGATGGCTTGTTGATAATCTTTACGGCACGTATCATGTCCTTTCTTTTGCCATTGACGCATCTCTCCAGTTGCACCTGTCCAAAGCCCCCGCGCCCGATATTTTGTTTTTCGAATCTCCAGTATTCCGTCCAAGATATCCTCCTGTTCCTTCCAGAGGGTTCGATGAAGGTATGGATTGTACAGTCATCACGGAACTCCGTCTCGAGCTTCGAGTCCCGCACGAGATCAATTTGAGGCATGCCTATAGATCTGGGAACCGTGTCAACGTCGTCCATAAGAGATACGCTCGGTCATACGCCTGCGAATGAGTCGTTTTGGTTAGTTGAGGAATTACGAGGTTTTTGCTTACGCGGTCCAGACTGATAGCAGTCTGCCTAATGGGCAACAAGGCAAGAAAGCTATCGAGTATATTAAGAAGCTAGTATAGATAGGTGGGGATGATCTCGGATGACGGTTCTAGCTCCAGGACCATGAAGTCTTCAACATCCGTCGATGTGCGTGATTAGGCGGGGTTGGTGTGAGGCTGTGTTCCTCAGCCCTGTGGCGGTGCTCCAGCTGCCTTCTTTGTGGTTCTGGTTCTATCGGTCTATCCAGCAATTGATAGGAATACGACGCACCACATGCCAATCACAATCTATTTTGGCCAGCGCGAGACACCCCCTCAACCGTTTAATGCATGTTTTTTCCCTTCCGCTATTTCTCCAGATCATTGTTAATACTGCGATTCCTACGACGGAATATAGGGTGAGTTCGCTTGGGCAATGACACGCGTTTTGAGGTAACGCCAATCTCAGTCGATACGATGTGATTAGAAGGACCTGCAGGTCTCGTGACTAGCTCAGCCCTGTAAAAAACCCTCGCGATCAGCCCAACCTTCTGTTATAAGAACACAAACATTGGAAACACTTGTTCCCCTCCGTCTTTCCAGACCCAGTCACAAGGATGACTACGACGTAATAGCAATACCATCACTTGCAAAATCGGTATCGCGTTTGATGCGACTTGGCAGGTTATACGTCCCAGCCCAATCTTTCTTCAACTTTATAAAGGAATCTTGTTCCTCTTGCCATGTCTGGCGCTGAGCTTGCTCTGGGCATTGTTGGGGCGGTAGCTGCAGTGGATGTTGCTATAAGGTAAGCTCCAACTCTAACAGAGGGTCGAGTCCACTCAACCTTGGTTTTCACCAGCTTAATTATTAAGGGCTTGCAAGACAATAATTAACACCTGCTCGGCCCTTCGAAATGCCGAGACGGAAACCCGCGAGCTGAGTACGCGACTCCGAAGTAACTGTGTGGCAACGAAGTTACAGCTAGAGATCCTTCGCCAAGTCCGAGACAATATTGATGAGGAAGGCCAGAACGTACAGGATGATGCCTTGAAAATCCTTACGTCGAAGCTCAGCACTACAGAGACTAAGCTGAAGGGTCTTATCAAATATCGCTCTTCAGCTCCAAGTTCCGATGCCCTGCCGACGATATTCACCATGTCCAAGAGGGAAAGATCAAAGTATGCAATCCTCAAAACCAACTTGGACAGGGCTATAGAAGACGTAGAGTCATGGCAACGTGCTTCATTCAATCCTCTATGGCTCGTCATTTTGAAGGCTCAAACACAACAATTTGACAAGGAACTCGATTATGCCAAGAAAAGAAACCCAGGCGAAGAGAATGTTATGATCACAGGAGCTATAGCAGTTCGGGATCCGCTAAAGAAAGTCTGCTCCACACACGTATTTTTACAGCCAGAGAAGGTCTATACAGCCGAAATTGTCGAAATCCCGTTTAGTTCCGTGAGAATGGTGCAAATCGATGGCAGGTGGCGGCTCCTGGATTCAGTGACCGACCTCTCAAGAGGGACGACTCGTGATTTGGCAGTAAAACTTAAACAGACAAAGCCATCAATATTTGGCCTCCTGACATGTTTCGGCGCCATTCACGACGAGAAGAAGAATGAAATCAATCTCGTCTTCCGAATACCGGAAGACATGTCCAATCCGGAAACTCTACGTGCAAAGATAATGGCAGGAAACACAAGACATTCCCTGTCAGAACGGTTCCGATTAGCTGCTCAACTGGCACGAGCCGTCTGCTCCATCCATACCTTCGGAATGGTTCATAAGAGCATTAGGCCCGAGAACATCATCGTGTTTCGGGATCAAGAATCAGCACTAGGGTCGGCATTCCTTCTTGGCTTTGAAAGAGTTCGCCCAGAAGAAGGTCGAACACGGCTAACAGGAGATGCCGATTGGGAGAAGAATCTTTACCGGCATCCGCAGCGCCAAGGACCGAAACTCCAGGATCCTTATATCATGCAGCATGATATTTACAGTCTCGGGGTCTGCTTGTTGGAGATCGGGCTCTGGAGTTCTTTCGTGGAATATGTCAACCCAGCCTCTGGCCCAGCTATGTCACACAGTTACAGGTTTGACGGTGCAGGGCGTAATAATACTGAGCGTTCAGAAGCTGTCAAGATACAGCTGCTTGCGATAGCCAGAGATAGCCTGCCAGAGAAGATGGGGACGAAGTATTCCAGGGTTGTCAAAACATGTCTCACTTGCTTGGACGCAGGAAATGAAGACTTTAGTAATGATTCGGAATTTCAAGATGAAGATGGTGTCTTTGTCGCTATCAAATACATTGAGAAGGTAAGAAATCCACGAAAGAATGCTAGCTCAGATCACTTGCTTACAATCACAGGTCCTAATGCAATTGAGCGATATCTCTATCTAACGATTTATCAGGCTTTCGAATTGATATCTAGGGTGAGGGGTTCTGGGTGGATGTTGTTTAGCAAGGTGGATTGGTTGTGTAAACAGTGTCTTTACCTCTTCGGCCCTGCACGGATTATGTAGGTCACGTGCAGATTTTCTGTAGAATACATTTCGTTATGTATAGTTCCCTAAACTATCTCAATTATTTTATGGTCTGTTGACACATCCGTTTTTCTGCGATGCTGAGATACGTTCGTAACCAAAAGATTGAGGGATGGGCGTTCGCTATATGTCCCGACTCCCTGATCGCTGTTCTGACCACTGTGTTTAAAGCGGCCATGACGGCTACTATCGCTTCATGTATAAGCCAGCTGACAGGGTTTATTCCTTTAACAGTCTGCACCTGATTGCGGACCTGAAACTGTTGGACGAGGGAGTCGAGAACTGTGAGGAATCCCTTATATTACTGTCGTCGATCGAAAAATCGCCCTCGTATTGTCTCAGCCTTGGTTTCCGTGATCCTCCTGGCCAAGGGCATCGACACTGCGGCGCAGCAGATTCTTGAGCTTTCTACGCGATAGAATAGACTGCAGGATACCACTACCAGTATTCCATATGCGCAGTAGAGTTGTTGATGGCGGCGGCACTCTCGAGTCTAACGGAGCTCTTGATCCAGGACGCAAGGACGCGCGAGCAGGGGATCTTGCACCACCGATCATAACGCGGTCAGGAACGTGTAACGCAGCTTCACCGGTGTAGCCGTTCAGCGATAATAAGAATGCGTTATTCGACAAAATTTGCTCCTTGATCTATTCGACTCTAGACCTAGAAAATGGCCTAGCTCGAACCCTTTATGAGCTCGGTCTGGCATACGGGACGATCCGGTGGTTGGAACAGTCTGAGTGAGGGCAGCGGTTGTGTTACCTCCTTGTGCATTTGCGTGCTTGGGCCTTGATTGTATACGCTGTTACCTGAGACAAGAATCCTTTGTTGATGGTACTTGAGCCTTGTACGCCAGCATGGTCATCTGGTCGGCTCACAACGTGTTGCGGGAATGGCTCAACTGGTCCAACCCGTGGGTGGCAAGTGCGAAGGTACATGTTGAAATTCTACGCGGAACTACCCTCGAACGTAGACTGTCACTGGTAGGGAAAGACACCATTAGAGTCTCACTCAATGACAAAGCAGCCATGCTACCTCGAATATTGTCCAAGTCAAGTCTCGAGCACGGTCATAACAAACTGGAATAGATCACATCTGAAAAAGACTCACCATGTCAATGGCACCACGTCATATTCAGTCGCTAGAGTTCTATCGAGATGTACTGAGTTGTTCAAGCTGTCACCCAATCAATGCCATGATGGTACCATAGTTTTCCAATACAAGGCGCTCTGGATCAAACCGCTTTTGCCATGTGCGCGTAATCAGTGGTGTGATCTAGAATAGTACCCTCTCTAGAGGTGCATGACAGGCATGCCTGCTGGGCACTTGGAAGAGGTGAAATCTGAATGTCGCACTTGAAACAGCTAAATGCAAGTGGCTTAGCTGGTGCTATCGGTCTGCTCCTTAAATGCAATCGTAGGTCAAGCACGGCCTGAAGAACGCCTCACTGAGTCGACCGTGTCCATCGTCTTTGCCCCCATTTCGCCTGCTTTCCACTGCTCTGGGTAGTTTCTTCGTCTGGTCGTACGATCCTCGCTCGCATAGCCGATGAGTTGTTGTTCCTGATTTGTCCCTTGTGTAACATCTGTATGTTTTGTGCCACACGTACCTCTCATGACTTTGGAGTCGTCGTCATTACTTGGCCATTTGGTGCCGCCGACAGTCATATGTAGGGAATTTGGAGGAAACACTCGGTACTTCCAAGACAGGCCGTGAATGCTCCCACCACCGTTAATCTGAGGTTGTTTGTGTTTGAGGTTTCTGTCGCAATTTACCTTGGAGCAATAATCTTCGTGCAGGGTCGTCTTCGATATTGCTCGAGCTATCGCAAGGCAGAGCATACATCGATTCCACTCGGTCGATGTAGTTGCAGGATGTGATTGGCTAGATGAACTGTTTGTTGCAACAATCACACGTCCAGCAACTATGTTCGTTTTTGACTGGCATCCATACATGCCTTAGCGGTGGGTGATTCCGTTTGCAGATATCATTCGCTGCCAGCCTTTTTATAGTATCGATGCTTTCGGGCGCGCTTGGTGTCGTTGTTTGTTCTTCGAGAACTCTCCCAAAGACAGTGTTCCTCCTATGGACCTCCGGATGCAAGCTTTGAACGTGACCTTTCACCCCTCGTCGTCTTGCTGATAAAGTATGTACATGGTGAGTTTCATGTAATGGGTACGCGGTAACGATCGACAAAGCTTGACGTTTGTCACGAAAGAGACAAATGACTGTTATCGAGGCTATTGGCGGAAGATCGCTCTTCTAAACAGCTGTCGGGATGAAGTTCGGTCCGTGGCAGGAATGTCATATGCTGTCAAAGACAAAGGTAACAACTGAAGGCATATCAATCAGAAGGGTGTACGACGATTGTCGGAATGCCGACTTACAGTGACATAAACTGGTCGGTCTTTACTGCGAAACATGATGAACAATCATCGTTTCTCGCCGAATTACATTTGCCTGAAAGTGACCTTGGGTTGATTGTTAAGATGAAGATGGGAGGATCAACAGCTCCTATGAACTTTGATCTTCTACGGGGATAACTAGCGCGTGTGAACCACTAACTCCATGAGCCCAGCGGTCAACCGACTAACAATAGTGGAAACAATACTTTGTGTCGCCGTTTCAAGGTCATTGAAACGCAATTGATTGGAGGAACTGTTTGTCGAAAGAAAAGCATTTGAAATTTCAGAGAGACCCTGATGACTGTACTGTAATGCGCGATTTATATGGTCGACGAGCAAGATCAATATCCATTTGCGAAGGCTGGAACAATCCAAATTCTGCCTTGCAAGGAGTGGTACTGTAATTCCGGGATGCCTACCCACCGAATTTGGAGTGACCTACGAAGCGACAAAAGGCAACTTTAGGCTTTCTGCCTGGTTATGCTCTTTTCGGGAAACAGTCCACCCATTCGGATAGCATCCTGTTTTAGGTATAGTACCATTGTAAAAAAAAATATATTTCATGTCCAGATTCGGTGCACGAATGAGAGATCGCTTTTTCCTCTACTGTACCTGAGTGAGTGATGTACAGTATTGTACTGTACATACTGTACTGTAGAAGCTCCACACTAAAGCCGTAGATGAATAATTCTGCACCCTCGAAATGGATCCAGCGGGACAAGAGCAAAAGTAGATTCGCGGTCCAGTTATGCTTCTCGTTGTAAGTTTCTTACTGCGAATCTTTCAAGCAGTGCAGTGGGGATTTTCGACGCTAATTGATTTCCATCTACGGACGCTGGGTTCTGCTTTGCCAGGAGTGGTAAGCCGGCGCGACAAGAAATGACGACGCAGATCTACATTCTTGGTCTACACGCCAAAATTGGTCTAGTGTTCAGAACCACATTGGGTTTTTGGCATGTTTATGCTCGTTGGGAAATAGCCACCAACGTAAAGAACCAAGCACGTCCAATTTCGGCATGTCCCCACGTGTACGTAGTCCAATTTAGCAGCAACGAAAAAGGGAGTCGCTTTCGGTCCGCTTTTGTGAGATTCGATGTCATCCTATATGGAGCATCCTTGTAATTTCTGTGCTGGAGCTTCAAGTGAATGCACGATATTCTGTTGACTCTCAGAATGGATTTTACGGGATAAGAGCAAAAGTAGATTCGCACCCAATCATGCCCACATAGCAAACTTTTTATTGCACAGTATTTGGACTCCGATTCTGGCTGGAATGTGGCAATTAAGGCGCTAATTACTTTGGGGAAAAGTTGCTCTTCGCCTTATTAGACGTTTTGAGTCTGTATCGTCACGACTGTCCAGAAGTAGCGGTTCAACGGCGTCCAGAAATAGCCGTGTAACCCCTCTCCGACTTCGCAAGTCCAAACACAAGGCCTTGTTTTAGTTGGGTGAACCCTTGGGTGAGCAACGGCCTGAGCTGCCTGAGCTGGCGAGCAACAGCCTGAGCTAGGTGAGCAACTGCCGGAGCAGGGTGAGCAACAGCCTGAGCCGGCTGAGCAACAGCGCGAACGAAGTGAGCGACTGAGGTAGGGTGAGCGACTGCCTGACTTGACGGAGCCGCCGAGTGAACCTGACGAGCACCTTAATCCCTTCAGAGGACGCATATACCTCGTCCATTCTCCTGTACAAGCAGCACTGCTTTATCGTTTGTATTCACCCATCTGGTTTAAATTCACTTTCACGAAAACTTCCTTTGCAAGATGCCTGGCGATCATTGTACAACGAATACTATGTATGTATAAAATATCAAAAATTCAGCTACCACGGTGTTTCTTGGATGAACGCATCTGCCTATTCCGGTCATCTGCGTGCCGCTTTTTCCGAACACTTTCCGACGTCCTCAGCTGGACCCCATGAACTGTAGACACGTGTGCTCTGAAATGATCTACTGTCTTGAACTTCTCTTCTTTGCACTCGGGATGTTTGCATTGAATCCCGTCTCTGCGACGTTCCGCGGTCTCCCTCTCTTCAAGGTGGTGTTTTTCGAAATGATTGTTGCGTACTTCGGGGCGACTGTACCGGAATCGTCGCTGTGCCTCAACGAGACGTTCATCGCCGATGCAGTCGGGGCACTCCCTTGGATCCATCAGAAGTGGGTAGTCTCTCTGTTCAGACTCCTGCTTCAGAGGATCGATTTGCACTGCTGTTGTTGCTTTTGCCCGCTGGCGTATGCGATTGCGCTTGACAGTCTCTCTCCTGGCACATAATGCCATCATGAAATCGATCGCCTTCAGGCGGAGCTCGGTTATCTCGTCAAAAGTCATGTCATCGGGCTGGTTACACAGCGCTTCAGCTAATCTGGCTCGCTCAATGATCTCCAGATCAACCTCAGGGGACGGGTACTCTTCATCCATACCACCTCCGGCTTGTTGTTCAATATCCTGCGTCGGCTTGTTATAGAAGTAATCTTGGCGAAACTGCTTCACAATCTTGGCTTCGCGCTGTGTACGCATTCTTCTGATGTCTTCTGTCAGAATACGGATCTGCACTTCATCGTCACTGCCCTGAATTCGGTGTTGTCCCCGTTTCAGGATCGCTCGTTCCTGCTCTAACTTGGTAATCTCAGGATCCGGAGCCAGTCGGTCCCAAATATGTTGAGGAATCATGTCTCGATGGGCCCGAGGGTCGCGCGTCAAGCTGACATGAGCAAATAGCTTGTAAAGCTCATCCTCGGTTTCCTCTTCGAGGAAGGTATTCTGCAGATCAAAATTCACTTGTTCGTTCAAGTATGCTCCAGAGAAAGTGGTCGATCCAGGGTTGTGGCGCATCATCTGATCTCGAACTGGGTCTGGGGCATTTCCTATTGAGATGTTCACCTGTCAGCTTTTTCTGAGAATCAGATTTCGATCCTGCTCACCATTTGCAGCATTTGATGCACCTCTGCGGAAAACCTTGGATGTCCAACGAATCTCAAAGCCTGCGTTTTCACTCTGATTGCCAAGATCGAACGAGTATTTGCTGTAGAGCATGGCCTCCTCTTCGGAAAGCTGGCCGTTTCGTTCAAATTTCCGAAACACAGGAATCTTCAGTTTTGACGCCTTCCATCGCAAAGGCTGGGATGATTTGCCAGCGGGAATTCCCAGCTTGAGTACACTCGCTGCATCTGTAATGTTCTCTGCTGCAAATGCTCCATCATCAAGCGCAAGGGCCATGATAATGCTCACCGAGCAAAACAGAAGCTTGTTCGTCGCGGTAAAGAAGAAGGTCGTGCTGATAAAATCTTATTAGGCGCTTTCAACAGTAGTAAAAAACGACAGTAAGACTCACGGCTTCAGTTTATTGTCTGATCCTTTGTGATGGGTAAATCGAATCGACATGGCCGGAAGAACTCGACCAGTGGTTGGATGACGTACCAACATCATATTGATATCTTCGTAGCAGAGTGCTTTGGGTCGTCCGCGAGTGATTCTAGCTGCTGGGAATGGATTTTCTGATGAAGAGGAGGTATCATCGGAAGAGTCGTCCGTGCTATCCTTTGAGGCCATGATAGCCATGGAGGTGAAGAGCTTTTCTTTGGATGTACCTTTCGGCCGTTTTCTCTCGGCCTTAACAAGCTCAGCAGGTCTGGCCCCGGTGTAGCATTGAATTAGATAGCAGGCTGCTAATTGGAGGCGATGGCGCTCTCCAGGGAACACAGTAGTATCGTATGCCATGTTGAATGTAAGAATGACCCGTAGCTCAGCAACGCTTACAACAGGCTTGCCATTGACGTTGGGGGGGCGAAGGCCATATTCAGGCACTAAATTGATATCGATGTGCTTCTATATTGTCAGTCTGGACTTTCTCTCCGTGTAGCGAGGGTAGTGAAGTTACCTGACGGACGGAATTGGCAACATTGCGGTCCATGAATATGCCTGCATGTCTGGTGTAGAGCTGCTGAAGTTGCCTGAAGTAAAGATGCAAAGAGCTGCTGGCCGTAATCTTACAGTCTTCACAGATGAATCTACAGAAATCCATGGCGATGGCAGGTCGAATTTCGACAAGCATCCGTTCCCAGTCTCCGAGATTGACTATCTTGCAGTAACTGCATTCACGTCAGCAGGTAATCAAAAATACGTCTTGCCCTCATTGCCTCACCTTTGCCACTTCTTGAGAACACCAGCTACGTTGATCAAGGATTCCTCAGACAGCTTGGCATTGAAGGTCACCACCTTTTCCAGTAGCTTCCTGTTAGCTGCAGATCTTTCAGATGACCATTTTTTTCGTCGAGGTTGGTTTCGTTCATTTTTTTCACGCTCGGCAACGGCGCGCAAGAAATTTTCGTGATATGCATCTTGTTTACGATAATTGCGTGCAGCGAGCATGGCGACAAATATATGGCTGTCCGCTACCAGGAGGACATTCGACAGAGCAAATGGCCACAACTCGAAGAAACGAGGAAATGGGTAGGATCAGGAGGAGACATTGTGAATCCAGCTGATCAATTAGGACGGCAATCATGTGCGGAAGACAAGAGTACAGAAGTGTTGCGTGCCCAAAAATGGTCTTTCAGCAATATCTTTGTGGATGAGCCAGGGGCTCTGGCGCTCAGGTACTCAGTACAAGCTTCCATGTAGCTGTGTTCATTGTGGTCCCTCACTGTGCGAGCCGCCGATTCTGGCGGCGGAACCCGCCAGCTTGGGCGGTCCCAACAGCGACTTCTCGATTTATTTTATAAAATCTATTAACGGTATTATAACGTTAAAAGAACTATTTACTTTTAATTTAAAAGATACTTTTACGTAAGTTAATTAAAGTTTCTTAAAACTTATATATATTAAGTAAAGTGGACTTTATATAAATCTCTCTTTTATAAATTTCGTCGGACTCGTTTTAAGTATAATATTAACTCTTAATAATAACGAAGTTTAAATTATAAAAGGGGTGGTTAATAATATTATTATAAAAGTATACGTTACTTTATAAACGTAAATTAATTTAAACGGTATATTATAAGATTAAATGTATATTTATTTAGAAAATAAACTTTTTATTTAAGTACTCGCTTTAAACTTATTTAAGTTTATTAATTTAAGTTTTATAAAAAGTTATTATATTATTATTATTATTATTAAATACGCCGTAAGACTCTAAGTCCCTCGGTACCTCTCCGAGTTAAATCGTACGGTAAACCTTACCTTAAGGGCTAGACAAAACCCGTACGCTTCGTGTGCTTTACGCTCTAATAACGTTTACGTTATAGTGTTTATAATACGACGTTAGTTTTCACCTAACCAACGTAACTACCCCTAAAAAGACTGGCTATCCCCGATATTAAATAGTCTCCCCGTTTGTAATAACTATTAAACTAGAACCTTTAACACTTTCGGAATTAACGTAGCCGCGGCGAGGTCGTAACGTATATCTAATCTTACCGGAGTTATAAAGCTCCTTAAGCGTGCTTAAGTCTCTTTTAATAATCCGTAATAAAGGAATACGTGTACGACTGTTTTAAGGGCTTCGCTATAATAGTAAAGGGGTATATACGCTTTAAACGCGTTTATTCTAAATAAAAAGGCTACGAGTTTAATCTGTTCAGACTAGATTTAAAAGATTATCGTGGCTTCTTTCCTCTTAAACTTCTCGTATTATTTTAGACCGGTTCTAAGGGCTTCGTCGGCTAATGTTCTACGTTAGCGATTATCTTACGAAGCGTTATCGCTTTGTTTACGCTTTTGCTAGTGTTTAAAGAGAGCTTGTCGTATATTTGGTCCTTCGGCCTATCTTAGTGCTCGTTCGTACTTCTCGATCGGGTATGTTATTAGGCGTAAGGGGAGCGGTAACGGCTTTCTTCGCCTAACTAGCCTTGCTTCTCGTAATATATGCGTCGCCTTTACGTAAGCGGTGCGTAATAGCTTGTTAGTCTTTTTCTTACGAATCCGTAGTTCGAACTTCGTTATTTAAGCGCTTAAATAAATGTTTAACGGCGGGATCGCTAATTTAGCTTTAAATATCCGTGTTAGTATAGCCTTATATACGCCGTAAATAGCGCGTAAGCACTCGTTTTAAGAGCTCGTTAATGCTTTGACCGGGCTTACGGGTCTCTCGCTAATAGTGTGCCACGTAGCCGCTCCGTATATAAGGGCTGTTCGTATCATTACTATATATAGTAGCCTTGCTCGTAAAAAGCCTATTCCCCACGCTATTCGTACGAGCTTTATAAGGGCTAGCTTTTGTATAGCGAACTTCGATTTTACTCTCTTTATATAGGCGTGCTAATTTAGTTTCTTATCGAACTAGACGTTAAGGAACCGTGTTAACATAACCGGCGTTATAGCTACGTTTCTAAGGCGAACTCCTAACGTTAACGGGTCTTTAGCTCTTATAAAGTATATAAGCTCGCACTTTTCTAGCGCGAAGTCCATACCGTGCCTAGTTACTTATGCCTTATATGTCATCTACGTTACTTTTAAGTATATATAAGTTATCTTTGTATCGTAACCGACGTTAAGTAGGTTCGTGTCGTCGGCGAACCCTATTATAATTAGCGATAAGTAATTTATTACTAGCTCTTCGTATAAGGTAAAGATATAGAGTAGGAATAATATAAGTAATAATAAGGAGCCTTAAAAGACGCCCGCGTTTAGTGAGAAGGGCGTGGACTTTTCGCCGTCGAAACGTAGCCTAGCCGTCTTATCCTTTACGTAGCTCGTAACCTATACCTAGACCTATTCCGGAAATCCCTTTTAAGTTAAGATCGCGATTAACCTAGTATAATTAACTGTATCGAACGCTCCTTTTATGTCTAGTTATAATAGCGAGGCGATGCCTCCGCGCCGCTAAGTTATATACGTTACGTCTTTAACGATACGTATAACGAGTTCCGTAAAACGGCCCTTACGGTTGCTTATTTAGCCGTTAAGAAGGACGCCCCCTTTCTCGGCTACTTTTGTAATTCTCCGGGCCATTACCCCTTCGATAACCTTCTTTATCGTACTAAGTAACGTTATTAGTCGCCACTTACTTATTATACGTCTTTAGGTTATTATCTTGTTTAGTTTAAGGATAATTACTACTCTAACGGTGCGAAAGCGTTATAAGAAATAGCTAATAACGAGGCTTATTATAGTTATATCCGCTAAGATCTTATAAAGTGGTTCTCCGTAACTCTTTAATAGTCTTACCGGGATTAAGTCGTCTCTTAAGGCTTTTTATAACGCTATTTTTAATACGGTAATGTTAATATCTGTTATAAATACCTCTTGTTTTATATCGAGTACGTTGCTCGCTCGTGGCGGTGTTATAACGAGGTCGTATAAGTCCGCGTACGGGCTCGGGAAAAACCTTTCCATTAGGATTTATGCCTTTATACTATGGGTAGTCCTTATGGCCGTGGCCGTCCCGTTGTCGTTACTTTATAAGTCTAGTATACTATGTTAATCTTAGGGTTTCTAACTGCGTAATCGAGCCTACCGTTATAACGCCTATAAGTTATTACGGTCCCTTACCGTAACTTTTAGCTTTTCTTGTTAGCTTTATTCTTAGGCGTTTATTATTTCTTCCTTTTAGTGTTACGTAGTAGTGGTATACTTAGTCTATGTGTTAAAGGATTTCGCTTATAAGTAGTCCTTATAACGTCGCTTTATATTTGCGTAGGCTTTGCTAACTTATAGACTTTATTATAATACCCCGTAGTTAGTGCTTACCGTCCGTTTTAGCGCTACTAAGTCTACGATTTCATATAATTCGTTTACTAACTAGTCCATTACTTAGTCGATTTCATCGGCTATTTAGACGGGTAGCTAGTTCTCGAATCTATTAGCCGCTTCGGCTAAGATAAGCTCTTTGTCGGCTATTACCTAGTTCTAGCCTTTTATCGTACGTAATCCTTTAGCTACGGCTTCGCCGTTATTAAAGATTTATACCCTTTAGGCCCGGTAATTTAAACCTTTTAAGCCTAGGTCCCCTTCGTAAAGGATCTTTATACCTTTCGTAGCCTAAGTTAGGTCGATAGTTAAGTCCCTTTAGTTATGTTTGCTCTTTATTACCTCCCCGTACGGTGTTATTAACGTAAGTCGCCACCGTTACGCCTACGTTATTACTTTCTCACTATGCTTTAACTCTCGCCCGTGTATATCCCATAACGGGTGGTAAGTGTTAAAATCCCTTACGAGCAAGTGCTTTCCTTTAAGAGCGTCGCTTAAGAGCTTTATTAAAGGGCTAACCTAGCTACTTATTTAGTTCGGTGAGTAAATAAACCATATCGTAATTAGTTCTAAGCCTTTTATAAGTGTAATACATGCTTAATCGTGGCTTAACCGGGGGTATAGTGTTATTATATCGTATCTTTTATATACGTAAAGCGCTACTCGTCCGTTATTATATATTACTTTATAACTCGACTAAGATAAGTAATAAATAATCCCGTTTTTCACTTATAATTCTTAGAGCGTAATGAAGTTATTACTTCCTCCCTTGTTTAACGTTAGTATTACATTAAACTTTAATCTTACGGTATTTTAATAAAAGGTTATAATTCCCATTATGTTATAAAGGGTGGTGGCATTCGGTTGTCTTTTGTTATAATGGTCCATTAACGGAGCCGAGTTACGGATTATTCCCTTTAAGCGGTTTATTTCTTCGACCCGTTTATTAAACGTCCGCGTTTCGATGACATTATAATAAAGCCATCCTTACTTCTTAGCTAGCTTATGTAATCGGTTATAAGTAAGGAGTTAGGCGGGGTAAGCCGTCCTTTACTTTGCGATCCCTCGGTATAACTACGGACCTCGAACTAACGTGGTCGGTGGGTATACGCCTCCGCCGCTCTTTTACGTTGTTTAATCGCGGCTGGATAACTACGGTCCTACGTAAGGTGTGGCCTTATATAGTTAATATAGCGTTTTGTTCCCTTTTCGCCCTTTTAAGGGCACCCTTTTCCCCCGTTTAGGTGGGCTGTAATTACGCAAATATTATATTATAATGTCTTTTTATAAAACCTTACGATATAATCGTATTTATAATAACGGAAGCACTGGCGTACCCGGAGCGTTACATTGTATAGTTCGTAATTAAATACTAACGCTTCTTATATTAACCCGTAGTCGTAGAGCTTCTTCGCTGCCTTTACGTTATTTACGTAGAGGATTAAAGCTTTATATAAGGCCTAGGGGGCTTTTAAAAGGCTCCTCTTCGCTTTAGTGACGTAGTTATTTACTTTATTAACTTCGAGGATATCCCGTAAGATCTTTGTTTTATTATAAGCTACCCGTAATAGCTTTGTTAGGATGCCTTTCGTTAATACCGTTACCTCTTAGCGAGTAAGTAATGCCTTTTCTCCGAAGGCGTTACTTACTTATTATTAGTTAGTAATAACCGTTTAAATAATCCCGTGTTTAAACGTAATTATTATATCGCCGTTATATAACTTACGGACTATTATTATATTATTAACGTTACGAGCTTTGTTTATTACTTTTAATACTTTAGTAATAAACTTATTCTTTAACTAGTCCTTTTAAATTCCTTTTATTACTACCTCTCTTTTACGGCTTACTAGTATAA